CCTGAAATCCCCTGTACCTTTTCAGGACTGGGGGGGACCCTCCTTCCCTACTCCCTGCCATGACCCAGAAAGAAAAGCCCTCTAAACCCTACAAATATAGGTATTCGTGCTTTCTATTGGCCCCGGGTTGCCCAGTAACCTGGGATTAAAAAGGGTGCCCTTTTTTTGCTTGAAGGGGTTTATAAGGGAACCTAAACCTACCAAAAAGGGAATAAGGGAACTACTGGGCATCCTAGTGGCTGACCTTGTGAATCGGGTATTCTTGGTGAGGAAAGGGCCGACAATCATACCGTGCTAACAGCCCTAATTGGCAAGGAAAGCGCCAGGCGCAAACGGCTTCCCTTAGGTGCGACTAGATTTTTAGGTTTTAGGGTCTAGGGTTTAGGGCCGTTTAGGGCTAGGATCCAGGGTTCAGGGTTCAGGGTTTAGGGTTTAGGGTTTAGGGTTTAGGGTTTAGGGTTTAGGGTTTAAAGTTTAGGGTTTAGGGTTTAGGGTTTAGGGTTTAGGGTTTAGGGTTCGGGTTTAGGGTTTAGGGTTTGAGGTGATGAAGACCAGCTGCCACTTCTTTCCAAACTCCTGGAGCTGTTTGGCTTCATGGCCCTGGTAACCGAGTAACCCTATTATGAGGAGGGCTCCCTTTTTGGGGTTTGGGGGTTTGGGGTCTGGGGTTTAACCCGTTCTTTGGGGTTGTAGAGCTACGAAAAAGTCAAAACCGGCACCACTGGACTTCCACGTGGCTCATACGACTAACATGACCTAAAGTTTTCGAGGTTCCAAGCCGCAGTCGGTTGAGACACACAATGCTTGGGCGTTCGAGCTTTCAGGGTAGAGTCGGAAGGTTACGCGTATGCGAGTTGAGGTCCCTTCGCCACGTACTATATAGGGGGCCCGAACCAGGGATCCTAATTTGGAACTACCCATATGGATATAGGCATGTGTAAGACAACATTTTCCCATGAGCCTGACTGAGCTCCCGACGAACAATAATTAATTGCAGGCCACACTGTGCAATTCAACGTCCGTGAGACCAAACAAGAAAAAGTTGGGACCTGCAGCTCCGTGTATCCCCACATAACTGACAACACCCCGAGCCATTGCCAAGAGCTTGAGCTTTGACTTGTCGTAAATGTTCTATATCATGCACATCGAGGTTAGCCCCTGCACCATGAATAACTTCAACAGCATCTTTGTATGATTCAACTACCCAGTCAATGACTTGGTTCATGGGGTCAGCTGAACTAATTAGCACGTAGAACATGTCAGACAACACAAAAGCATGAACGCCTAAGGGTGGGATCATCGGCTTGCCTTGAGATGTTTTGCACGGTTCACAACAACTAAGGACGAACAGGGACTTGCTGCGGGGCCTGCCTCCTTGTGCGGAAGGCGGTCACCCCAGATTGACCCCCAGATTTGTGCATGATGTAAGGACCCTTCATTTGTGTAGGCTATGTAAGTGGTATGTGAAGGGTCTCCTGTTAAGGGCCCATATGAAGGGGCCATGCAACTACCCTTAGACATCTAGGCAGCCCAGTCACCAAGAATTACAAAGGGTGCCCTTTGTTGCTTAAGGGACCTAAACCCCCCCCCCCCCAAAAGGGAATGCGGGCACTACTGGGCATCCTAGCTATACTTCATACCGTCTGTTGTTGCAAATGAAAATTATCGGCAACTAAGATCCCCCGAAACCCTAAACCCTAAACCGTCTACTTGCACGAAGTGTCACAACATCCTCTCCCCTCGAGTTATGGGGAAAACGTAGACCTTAATCCCCCTCCGCCCTGTGTTTGAGGCTTTAGCTCCATACACCTTAAAACCCCTAAAACCCGCAACCCTAAACCCTAAACCCTAAACCCTAAACCCCTAACCCTAAACCCTAAACCCTAAACCCCTAAACCCTGCATTTCTGGTCCTTGAGGTCATCGGAAGGCACTTCGTTCGAAAGGTGCACGCCGAGCCTCGGCTCCGAAGCGTTTAGGGTTTAGGGTTTAGGGTTTAGGGTTTAGGGTTTAGGGTTTAGGGTTTAGGGTTTAGGGTTTAGGGTTTAGGGTTTAGGGTTTAGGGTTTAGGGTTTAGGGTTTCGGGTTTCGGGTTTAGGGTTTAGGGTTTAGGGCCCCTCAACCAAGGAACTTTTCGCAGAGTACATGGCGGCCATTGCCATATGGATTAGGGACTCTTGCTGACTTAAACGTTTTGGAAGATGAAGTTCTGGGACGCTTTCGAGGGTGTAGGGCTTCCTGTTTGGGGCATAGAAGACCTTCAGCAGCTCACAATCTAATTCAAGGCCATTTCCTGCATGGGGGGGGGGGGGGGGGGTGTTGGGCTTCCAAGCCCTAAACCCTCATCCCGAAGCCCTCAACCCTAAGCCCTAAGCCCTAAACCCTAAACCCTAAACCCTAAACCCTAAACCCAAACCCTAAACCCTAAACCCTGCTGACATGCTTAGCCAAAGTATAGGACTCCGTGGGTCTGTTTCGGCTGCTGCCGCGGCACGTGGCCCTGAAGCGTCGCGCGTTCGGGTCCCTCGACTCCTGGGGTTTGGGGTTTGGGGTTTAGGGTATAGGGGTTAGGGGTTTTGGGGTTTAGGGTTTGGGATTTAGGGTTTGGGGTTTAGGGTTTTGAGGGTTTAGGGCGTGGGGTTTAGGGCTTAGGGCTTAGGGTTTAGGGCGTGGAGTTTATGGCTTAGGGTGTAGGGGTCATGGGCTAGGACCGGTTCAGGGGTCAGGGTTTGCAAAGGGGGCCATAAAACAATACTTCTGGCAGCACAGCGCTGGGGTGTCGAACAAAAAGTTGACAATGAGTAAGAATACTACTAACTAGTAATGTGCATTCTCATTACACATGTACATGCAAACAAAAGGTCATTTAGTATATGACATTTGTTACTTAAAAGACCATATTGTGGATAATTATGACTAATGTTCGCAATGACCATCAACACCATGGCACAACAAGGGCTCTGAACCATCGCCCTTCCTGGATCTGGTCGACCCTCAACAACATTGTGGAGGGTTTAGGGTTTAGGGTTTAGGGTTTAGGGTTTAGGGTTTAGGGTTTAGGGTTTAGGGTTTAGGGTTTAGGGTTTAGGGTTTAGGGTTTAGGGTTTAGGGTTTAGGGTTTAGGGTTTAGTAAGCCCTGAAGTACCCCACCTACAACTACGCTACCTAAACCGTCCCTGAATACCCGAAAATCCACAACCCGAAACCGCCACCCCGAAATCCAAAGCCGTGGGGCCAAAATCCGAAAACCCGGACTCAGTGGCTTAATGCGGCTTACCTGGGCTGGCACGATGCAGACCAGGAGGTTGTCTCCCTGCCTCAAATCGTGTCATCAGGGGCTTCGGATGTAGAGTTGAAGGTGTGGGGCAAGGTCCAGGGTTGAGGCTGTCCACAGGCTTTATAGAGGGTCTTGAGGGTGTATATAGGGCGTAGGGTGCAGGATGAGGCGTTTGGGATGCTAAAGTCTTAGAAGGGGTCAAGAGTGAACCTTCAGGCAGGCATCAAGAAGAAAAAGCTCCGAGCAAGAGATGTGCCCCAAAACCCACTGGAGTGCTAAAGCCCTAAAGCCTTAAACCCTAAACCCAAACCCAAAACCCAAAACCCAAAACACAAAACCCTAAACCCTAAACCCTAAACCCTACCCTCAAACCCATAAACCCCTTACACCCGTCATTTAGGGTTTTAGGGCTTCGGGCAAATGAACACCGGGAGCCCACACTCCCATCTTAAGCCCTAACCTTACACACTAAACCCTAAACCCTAAACCCTAAACCCTAAACCCTAAACCCTAAACCCTAAACCCTAAACCCTAAACCCTAAACCCTAAACCCTAAACCCTAAACCCTAAACCCTAAACCCTAAACCCTAAACCCTAAACCCTAAACCCTAAACCCTAAACCCTAAACCCTAAACCCTAAACCCTAAACAAACCCTGCCGACTGCCAGGCTGCTGGATCTGGGCCGTGCGCACCACGAGCTCCCGGAGGTTGAGGTACACCTCGCCACCTGTAGCGGGAAAACCCTGAACTCTTAGGGTTTAGGGTTTAGGGTTTAGGGTTTAGGGTTTGGGGTTTGGGGTTTGGGGTTTAGGGTTTAGGCTTTAGGCTTTAGGGTTGGGTCCAGAGTTTAGGATATAGGGTTGAGGGCTTCATGGTCCCTTAGTTTGGGCCCTTATAAGGGTATACCCTGTACAAACTAAGGGCCCATGCATCAGAACCAGAACCCTGAACCTTAAACCCTGACTCTGAAGCCCTTTGTCAAACTTGGGTCTCTTTTGCAACAATATGAAAATTCTTTACGTGAGAGGTAGCCACGACGAACCGCAAAGGTCCACCCTAAACCCAAACCTAAGCCCCAAGCCCTAGGCCCCAGACCCTAGACCCTAAACCGCTTTAGGGTTTAGGGGGTGAGGGGTTAGGGGTTCGGGAGGTTTAGGGTTTTGGGAGGTTTAGGGTTTAAGGTTTGCGGTTTCGGGTTTAGGGTTTCGTGTTTAGGGAGGTTTCGGGTTTAGGGTTTACCCACATTAGACCCTAAGCCCTTACGTTCCGACCCCATATGCCGAGCTGCTTGAGAATTCGATCAGAGCGCCTACAAACCAGAACCACCCGAAAGTCCTTTTGCCCCGAACAGCAACGCCTTAAGATTAAAGTACACCTACCAGTATAGACCCTATACAAACCATAGTTAGCCCCATATAAACCCTATATTAACCTCAACCCTATAGAAGCCCCATATTAACCTCAACCCTCTGTGAACCCTGTTTCTACCACTGCAATCCCTGAATAAACCATAATAAGCCCTATATACACCCTATACACACACTATATAAACCCGATATGCTAAGCAATAGTAATCCTTGTATCAACCCTATATACACCCTATATAACCCATAATAACCCCTGTATAAACCCCAGTGGCCCTAAATCAATAAACCATCCAGAAACACCCCTATACCAAGCTCTATATAAACCTGATAAAAACCCCATATAAGCCATGGTAACCCCTATATAAACACTATATAAACCCTATACAAGCCACAATAGCAACCGCTATATCAACCCTAGCAATCCCTGTAGAATCCGGAATAAACCCAAAAAACCTCATCGCATAAACCACAAAAATCCTATAAACCCTCTATCAACCGTTTTACCGCCAAAAACCCACCTTATTGTCAACCTTAAAACCCCTATATAAACCCTATACAAACCACAGTACTCCCTGTAAACCCTATATAAACCCGTATAAACCATAACAGCCCCCTATATAAACCCTATATAAAGCCTTCAAGCTCTAAGCTCCCAGTCCGGGCCTTTCCCTTCTTCCGGCGTCAGCGTCTGGAGGATTCCCCAGCCTTTCAAGGTTTCGGGTTGCCTTATGGGTTTTAGGACCTAAACCCGAAGCCCCTCCCTCTCCAGATTGCGCCCCGAAACCCGAAACCCTAATCCCTCTCCCAAAATCCCCCCCACCCCCCCTCAGCCACTAGATTAAGCATCAAAACCCCAAAATTTTCAGAGCATGGCTGTTGATCCAAATACCTCGCCTATATATGCATACATGTATATGGTGAACACATTGCAGCTGCGAAAACTTGCCCCATCTACCTTTAGATCGACCTCACCCCCCCGCCCCCCATAATCTCTCAGCCCCTAAACCCAAGTAAGACCCTAAAACCCGGCACGCATAAACTGGCATAAACCATGAAGCCCTAAAAACCCATGAGGCAGACCCGAAAACCTGGCACCCATAAACATGAAGCCCCAAAACCCATAATGTAGACCCTAAACCCGGCATCCACAAACCATGAAGCCCTAAAACCCATGAGGCAGACCCTAAAACCCGGCACCCCCTGAAGCCCTAACCCGAAATCCTAAACCCTAAACCGTAAACCCTAAGCCCTGCACTCAACTCAACGCCTAAACTTGACTCGTTTTGCCAAGTGGCCTTTCTCTTCGTTCCAGAACTTGACGACGCCTCCAGGAGCCCGAAATGGGGGGTTAGGGCTTAGGGAGTAGGGATGAGGGTTTAGGGTTTAAGGCTTGCAGGGTTCCGGGTCGAATATCGACACTCGGAATTCTAATTGGTTCATGTACCGTGGGTGGATGAAGGAAGGCAGGCATCAGAGCGACGACGGCAGCTGCGCCCGTTCAGAGAAGACCTCGTACTACAGTTACTAGTACTAGCACTAGCATGAGTGCTAGTACTGGTATAGCACTAGCAGCAACGATAGCTCACAAAACTCATGATCATCATCACCACCACCATCATCATCTCCTTCCCCCCCCCCACCACCACCCCGCCAAAAGAGATTGTTGAGGGCGCGGAATACAGCTTAAACTTTGTAGGGTTTATATAGGGTTTCTGAGTTAAGATCTAGGACCTATCCCGCCATCAGCCGGCAAAGCCGATACTAGGACCGTTAGGAGAAGCAGACCTTTTTGGGATTTAGGGGTCAGGCACTTCGGGCTTGGCATTTAGGATGCTGGCTGGGGTTGGGCACCCTAAACCCTAAACCCTAAACCCTAAACCCTAAACCCTAAACCCTAAACCCTAAACCCTAAACCCTAAACTTCCCTTCCCCGGCATGACCCGATTGCGCGATCCGAAGGCCTGGCAAGACGTGGTGCGTCCTCGGCTGCGGTGTAAGGCTTGGGGGGCTTGTAGGGCTTCGGGATTTGGAGTTGGGGGGGTTCCATTTCTCCTTCACTCACTCACCCACCCACTCACTCGCTCACGCACTTCTTTTTTGATATTCTGCTTCTTCTCCTTCTTCTTCTTCTCTTCTCCACGTCTAAGAGGGCCCCCCGGCACTCACTCTCTCTCTCTCTCTCTCGCGCTCTCTCTCCCTCTCTCCGTCTCTCCGTCTCTCCGTCTCTCCGTCTCTCCGTCTCTCCGTCTCTCCGTCTCTCCGTCTCTCCGTCTCTCCGTCTCTCCCTCTCTCCGTCTCTCCGTCTCTCCGTCTCTCCGTCTCTCCCTCTCTCCCTCTCTCCCTCTCTCCCTCTCTCCCTCTCTCCCCCTCTCTCTCCCTCTCTCTCCCTCTCGCTCCCTCTCTCTCCCTCTCTCCCTCTCTCCTTCTCCCTCTCCCTCTCCCTCTCTCACTCCTATCCTCTATCTCCTCTCTCCCTATATCCTCTCTCCCTTCTCTCCATAATCCCTCTCTCCCTCTCTCCTCGCTCCCTCTCTACCTCTCGCAATCTATCCCTTTCTCCATCTCTCCCTCTCCCCTTCTCCCTCTCTCCGCTCTGCCCTCGCTCCCTCTTCCCTCACTCGCCCTCTCTCCCTCTTCCCTTCTCTCCCCTCTCTCCCTACTATCACTCATCCCGCTATCATCTCCTCTCCTCCCTCTCTCCCGTCTCGACCTCTCTCCCGCTCGCCCTCCTCTCCCTCTCTTCCCTCTCTCCCTCTCTCCCTCCTCTACCCTCTTACTTCGCCTCTATCCATCTCTCCAATCTCTCAATCTCTCCCTCTCATCCCTATATCCCTCTCTCCATCTCTCCTCTTCCCTCTCTACTCCCTCACTACTCTCCCCTCTTTCTCCCTCTATCCCCTCTATCCACTACTCTTCCCTCTCTCCCTATCTCCCTCTCTCCCTCTCTCCCTCTCTCCCTCTCTCCCTCTCTCCCTCTCTGTCTCTCTCTGTCTCTCTCTCTCTCTCTCTCTCTCTCTCTCTCTCTCGCGGAGCATCATAGACACATTCTTGTCATAGGGGTCGACAAGCTGGCCTCCCCAAACGGGAATGCACGGGTGATCCGCTCCTCTGCCCTTAGAATGCCAAGCAAGACTCTCCTCCTCCAGCGGCCTCAGCTGCTTCACCTTAACCAGCGTATGGAGGGCAGAAGGGGTTTAGGGTTGATGGGTTTCGGGGTTTAGGGTTTAGGGTTTAGAGTGTGGGTGACCTAGGACGAAATCCAATACCTGGCTGTTGTAGGCACGGTATGCTTAGTGGATGTCATTATTCTCTGGGACTCTTGCATCTTCCTGAAGAACCACATCAGAGTAGATGGCGCAGATTAGATGGCGCAGTTCACACAAAGAAAGTAAACGTGAAGTCGAGGAAATGAGGGTTCTGATGAAGTGAGCAGGCTTTCGCGTGAACTTCGGTCTTTTCTATGTGAACAACATCATGCGTCCTTTCAATCATGTTGTTGCGAAGATTAACATCTGACACGTGGATGGATGACCTGTTGGTATTCGGTGCATCTCTGCTCTCCAAATATCATGGGTTTCCTACTACCCCCCTCTATACTACGCCCCCTAGGTTCCCGCCTTAAATTACCTTAATTCTGCTGAACTATCCCTAAATAGCCTTAATTACGGGGGGGTGACCTGGGGGGTAGTACAGAGGGGTGGTAGGGTAACCCAGGACAATGTGATGTTATAGTGTTCGCTCCCAGGACACATCATGATCGCCTTTGTCACCCAGATGCAGTGTTCATAAGCCATGTCGCCAAACCTTGGCCCTAAACCCTAAACCCTAAACCCTAAACCCTAAACCCTAAACCCTAAACCCTAAACCCTAAACCCTAAACCCTAAACCCTAAACCCTAAACCCTAAACCCTAAACCCTAAACCCTAAACCCTAAACCCTAAACCCTAAACCCTAAACCCTAAACCCTAAACCTAACCCCCTGAATCCTAGACGCGATTTACCATAACCCGAAGCCGTCTAAACCCTGCATCCGAAACCCTTTGCTTAGGAGCGCACCCAGCGATTCATGCAGTACCTGCCAGCTCATGGCGTTTCGGGTGTAGGGTTTAGGGCTATGATTTCTGAGGATGGGGAAAAGTGTATCTTGAGGGCTTTTTTGAAGGAGTTATATTACCTCGGCAACCCAAATCTCTCAACCCTCTTGGGGTACACGTTTAGGTTTCGAGCCCTCACCCTAAACAAGCCGGAAACCCTGGCAAGCTTCTTCTCTTAAACATCCTAAACCCTGACAGGGCTTATCGTACAGGATTTCGGGCTTGTTCTGGGCTCTAGGGTTTCAAACCCGAAACCCGAGGTAAGCTTTTTCTCTTCCAAATCCTGAACCCTGAAAGGGCTTGTGGTATAGGATTCGGTTTTTTTTCAGGGGTTTACCTCCGTATGGTTCAGGGGTGCTAAAGGGTCCGGAATGAATGATGTTGGGGTCTTTCAGTTTGGGGTGTTTGGTCTGGGGTTCCGGATTACTTGTGTGCCAAACATCTCACAACCCAAATACTGACCCAAAACCCTCAACCCGGGTTTAAGGTTTAGGGTTTAGGTTTAAGGGTTAAGGGTTAAGGGTTTAGGGTTTAGTGACACAGCCCCAAAAAGAAGTGAGATCGAACTATGGGCCGAAGCGCAGCTGGAAGCCGTTCTGGCGCGCGTGGTTCTCCGGGAGGCCGGGAGCCTTTGGTGTTGGGTTTAGGGTTTAGGGTTTAGGGTTTAGGGTTTAGGGTTTAGGGTTTAGGGTTTAGGGTTTAGGGTTTAGGGTTTAGGGTTTAGGGTTTAGGGTTTAGGTTAGGGTTTAGGGTTTAGGGTTTAGGGTTTAGGGTTTAGGGTTTAGGGTTTAGGGTTTAGGGTTTAGGGTTTAGGGTTTAGGGTTTAGGGTTTAGGGTTTAGGGTTTAGGGTTTAGGGTTTAGGGATGCGGCTTGCGCCTTTTAATATACCTGGAGGTTCATGGGTAGTTGTAAGTAGGGTTGTAGCTTTGGGCACTCAAACCCTTCTTTTTCTAGCGTTTGCTTGCCCAAGACGATCTTCAGCTAAGTAAGGTATGTGGGAGTCTTTTGGCAGGCAGGGCCGGGGCAGGTTCGGCTCGATGACCCCCAAACCTATTTTTGCAGGCTGCTAAGAAAAGGCTCGGGGCCCTAAACCCTAAACCCTAAACCCCAAACCCTAAACCCTCTTCAGGCACATCTTCCTCTCTCCCTACCCTGACACCTGAGCCCACGGGTTTAGGGTTAACCCCCCCATGAGCCCATTCAGGCACCTCAAGCCTGGCAAGCCCCAAGGGTAGTGACATCATCCCTTAGTGTGGGCTCTTAACTGGGGAACCCCTTATATGCCCAGTACTTCAGAACCCTTTGACGAAGGTAAGGGGCCATTTTAAGGGACCACGTAAGCTACCCTTCGACCCGAAACACCACATGAGCCACAAGTCCCAAAAACCCTGACCCTGATGGTGCGGGATCCTCTTCACCCTACCCTCAACCCCCATACCCTCAACCCTAAACGCCCTAAGCCCGAAAACCTTAACCCTAACCCCTGAAATCCCTAAGTCCTAATTAAGCCCTAACCCCCCCCCCCCACCCCGAAACCCTGAAAACCGACCCTGAGCCCTGAAACCTGAACCCTAAACCCTAAACCCTGAACCCTGAAAGCCCCTCAAATTTTGATCGCGCCGGGCTGCACTTTCCTTGCCCGCCGTTCCACGCGAGTCCTGCCGGGTCTTCAGGTCTAGTGCTTAGGGTCTAGGGTTTGGGAATTAGGGTTTCGTTTTCAAGGTTAGGGTTTTAGGGCGAGCGCTTCAGCTTTTGAAGGATTTTCCTAAGGTACTTTGGGCATGCTCTGGGGAGGTTTTCGGGGGCAGGGCTGTAGTTTGGGGGGTTTAGGGTTTAGGGTTTAGGGTTTAGGGTTTAGGATTTAGGGTTTTCGGGCCTGGGGGGGGGGGGGGGGGGTCTAGAGATTCACGGCTCTTGGCTTTCAGAACGCTTGTCGTAGCCTTTAGGGTAATTCAGGGCTTTGCACTTCTGAGGGGTCCTAAGCTCTTTAGGGTAGTTACATGGTCCCTGAATAAGGGCTCTTCCTTGGGTAACCTTTATATACCCCTTATTTTCCCTAAAAAATCCAAGGGCCCATACTTCAGAGCCCTTGTAAAAAGGGTAAGGGACCACGTTTAGGGGCCCTGAAACTACCCTGAGCGTCAAGGGAGTCATATGTGGACCCCGAAGGATGTGCCCCTATCGAAATCTGGCCCTTATAATGGGTATGATGGGTTTAGGGTTTAGGGTTTAGGGTTTAGGGTTTAGGGTTTAGGGTTTAGGGTTTGGGGTTTGGGGTTTGGGGTTTGGGGTTTGGGGTTTGGGGTTTGGGGTTTGGGGTTTGGGGTTTGGGGTTTGGGGTTTGGGGTTTGGGGTTTGGGGTTTGGGGTTTAGGGTTCAGGAAGCCTGATGCATCTTGCTCTTCCTCGTCTTCTTGCGCAACCAGCAAGCCAGTTGCCAAAGCTTGTCTGGGGCTGCTGTAAGCACAGCCGACGCAAAGCACCAGCAAGTACCCTTCGGCTGTAATGATCTCTTGGTATCGAGACTGCTCCGTGGGGGGTGGAACGAAAGACGGTTCCGAGCCGGGGACCGACACCGGCGGAGAGGCCACACAGGGCTTGTATTGCACCTGAACGCATCCTGATGGCGGAAGCCAGGAAAGTTGGAGAGCTTAGACGAAGACGAACTTGGACGAGGAGGAATGGGTGCGAGAGCCTTTCTGGATGCTGTAGGCCATGTACCACGGCCGTCTGAATCAGCTTGCCGCTGAATCTTTTCGCTGGAACAGTGTTGCGGGGCGAGGGCTATAAATGGTTTGCCGCTTAGGGTTAGGGGCTTAGGGTTTTTGGGTTAGGGATTTAGGGTGCAGGGTTAGGGGTTTAGGGGTTTAGGGTTTTGGGCTTGGGGCATGAGTCTTCAGGCCCAGCACCGTGCTTTGTGTAGGGCTTAAGGCTTTACATGGCGACAGCTATCGGAGCCTCTCGAAACCCTGAGCCCTTTAACCCACAACCCTAAAACCCCTAAGCCCTACAAACCCCCTACCCAAAACCTGTAAATCCTTAACCCTAAACCCTACAGCCCCCTGCTCAAGCTCCGCAACCCTAAACCCTAAACCCCAAACCCTAAACACCAAACCCTAAACCCCAAATCCCAAAACCTAAGCCCCAAACCCTAAACCCCAAATCCCAAACCCTAAGCCCCAAACCCTAAACCCTAAAACCCTAAACCCCGAAAGCCGCCTCGCCGTTCGAAGAGCCGTAGTTGCCGCGCCCCTTTCGTCCGGACTTGCCTTGCCCCTTCTCCTGAGCTCTGAACCCTACAGGGTGGGGCCCCCTACTTATAAGTAGACTCATAAGAGCCCTTAATTGGGTTCTAAGGATCCTAAACTAGGTTATCAGTCCCTTAACTACAGTTAGTATAGTAAGGGGGCCCCTCCTTGTACCCAGAGGATTTCAAGAGGGAAATGGGGAAACCCTAAACCCGAAACCCTAAACCCTAATAGCCCTAAACCCTAAACCCTACTAGCCCTAACCCTTAACCCTAAACCCTAATAGCCCTAAACCCTAAACCCTAAACCCTCATAGCCCTAAAGCCAGGATCTCAGTAGGGAACTAGGGAAGTAGATTACCCTGTATAGTCGTTTTTAGGGACTGATAGGGGGATCAGTAGGTGCAACCTGCTTAACGTAGTGGCTTATACTTATAACCCAATGGCGCGTCGGGTTATAGGGCCTGGCTAGGGTCGAACAACCGACGTGCGACAGTGGTTGCAACCCCACTTTCTACCTCACCCAAGGCATATTAGCCTGGATAAGGAGTTCCTCTTGCAAAACCCGAGACAATAAACCCTAAACCCTAAACCCTAAACCCTAAACCCTAAACCCTAAACCCAAAACCCTAAACCCAGACCCCGACCTCCCAAGTAGTGCTTTGGGACGCACGGCCTTCAGCCCTAAATCCTAAACCCATCATCGGCCATGGGGTCCCAAAACCCTTCCCCATACACTCAGTTAAGGTTAGGGTTTAGGGTTTAGGGTTTAGGGTTTAGGGTTTAGGGTTTAGGGTTTAGGGTTTAGGGTTTAGGGTTTAGGGTTTAGGGTTTAGGGTTTAGGGTTTAGGGTTTAGGGTTTAGGGTCTACGGTTTAGGGTTTAGGGTTTAGGGTTTAGGGTTTAGGGGTAAGCCTCTGGGGAACCCTAAGCTTTCAAAACCCTTCCAGCTCACCCCTCCCCGTACAGCATCCCAGCTTCCGACGCCTGCCTGTGCCACGAGGCAGGCTTGGCTATCTTGAACCTGGGTTGCCGTTCACAGTCTTACATTGGGATGTTCCCTAAACCCTAAACCCTAAACCCTAAACCCTAAACCCTAAACCCTAAACCCTAAACCCCCCTTGTACTAACAGGCCTTTATAGGGATCATCCTCGGGGTACTACAATCCCTATTAAGGGTTGTTGTATGTGGGGCAACATCCCAAGTCTTACATTCATCCAGAATTGCCGTAGGTGATGCAGTCCTGATTTCTACAGATAAGTAGCCATATATGTTTTTGTATATGCATATTCATATATGTATTTGTATATATATATATATATATTTCTTCTACATAATTCATATAGAGTGTACCTCTGCATAATGCTTTCTATCTGTTTCCTATGGTAGCTAAATTAAGGCGTAAACCCTGAACCTGACCAACAAAGCCTTAAAACCCAAAGCCCTCAGTGCCCCATCTTGGTAGCCCAGTAACCATCTTGCAATAGGGGTACCCATTTTCAGGGTTGCGGTTTAGGGTGTGGGGTTTAGGGTCTAGGGTTTACGGTTTAGGGTACCCATGTTTTCTTGCTGGTTACTATACAGGGGAATCTGGAAACCCCCTAAAAAATGGCGGAAAAAGGCACCCAGGACTCCCTATAAGAAGCCCTACATTGCCCCAAAGGTCCCGAATAAGGGTCCCTCCGGATCCTCTAGTCCCTAAACCCTAAAACCCTAAACCCCTAAAGACCTAAAACCCTAAACCCCTAAAGACCTAAAACCCTAAAACCCTAAAACCCTAAATCCTAAACCCGAAACCCGAAACCCTAAACCCTCAACCCTAAACCCTAAACCCGAAACCCTAAACCCGAAACCCTAAACCCTAAACCCGAAACCCGAAACCCTAAACCCTAAACCCTAAACCCTAGCCCAGGAACGTCAACTTCCGCTTCCGCCCATCGGTCGGGGAAGGCACGCTGACCATGTTCAGGCGCCGCACAGCCTAGGGGGCTCAATTGGGCTTCTAAGATGGCCCTTTTAGGATATAGGGTTTAGGATTTAGGGTTTAGGGTTTAGGGTTTAGGGTTTAGGGTTTAGGGTTTGGGGTTTGGGGTTTAGGGTGACTATGATCCTCTTAAACCCAATGAAGGAACATTTTCCTGAATAGGATCCTCTTAAAGGAAAAGGGACTCACTTAGGCTTCCGGGGCTTTAGAGACGCTTAAGGGTTGTTTTAGGAGCCTTGGGTCTTAGGGTTTAGGGTTTAGGGATAGGGTTTAGGGTTTAGGGTTTAGGGTTTAGGGTTTAGGGTTTAGGGTTTAGGTTTTAGGGTTTAGGGTTTAGGGTTTAGGGTTTAGGGGTAAGGGTTTAGGGTTTAGGGTTTAGGGTTTAGGGTTTAGGCTTGGGGTTTACGGAGGTCAGAAAGCTGAGGGAGTTGAGGGAGTTTAGAGCATAGGTGGGCCAGGGGCTTGGGGTTTGGGACTCTGCGTGGGGTTTAGGGTTTAGGGTTTCGGGTTTAGGGTTTAGGGTTGAGGGGCTTGAAATTAGGGAGGCTCTGTCTGTCGGCCTCGACGGACCTGAACAAACCCTATAAGCCTTGGACACATAGCTCGCGGTATTTTCAAACCCTGCAAAGCTCCCAAAACATTTAAAAAAAAACCTAAACTAAGGTCCGAACTCGATAAAAGCCCCACAACTAAAAACTCTAAATCCTCAAGCCTAAAGCCTCAAACGCAAAACCCTCAACCCCCTAATCCTTTCAGCGGCTGCATCAACATCCCTCTCGTCCCGGTAGCGCACGAAGCACAGCCTGAAACACCACAGCATGAACAGCGTTTCGAAACGAAACCCAGGAGTTACCTAGGAATAAACCGGGTATGTTTGATGTTTTTGGGTTTTAAGGGGACTATAAGGGAACCCCAACCCCACCTAAAAAAGGAAACAAGGGTCTACTTCGGGTCCGAGCAAGCTCCCTAATTAAACTCTAGACCCGAAACCCTAAACCCTGAACCTGAAACTGCGCAGGAGACCCAAGTGTGCTTCAACAAACAACTTTAGGCAAGATTCTGGTTACAGCACTTTGCAGGCCGTACACCCTAGCCTACGCCAAACCCTAAACCCTAAACCCAAAACCCTAAAAACCCTAAAAACCCTAAGCCCCCCAAAACCTCCCAAACCCTTGAGGACTACAGGCCGTACACCCTAGCCTACGCCAAACCCTAAACCCTAAACCCTAAACCCTAAACCCTAAAAACCCTAAGCCCCCCAAAACTCCCAAACCCTTGAGGACGACGAGCGATTAGAACGTGTGGAGACAGGACCCTAAACCCTAAACCCTAAACCCTAAACCCTAAACCGTGTGGAGGGGGCGGGTTGCTCCTAGGGCCGCTTTTGCGGAGTTTATGTTTATTTGTGGTCTAGGGTTTAGGCTCTCGGGTTGGTAAACCCCAGATGTCCCTCTGTCTATCTCTGTCTGTCAACCCTAAACCCTAAACCCTAAACCCTAAACCCTAAACCCTAAACCCTAAACCCTAAATCCGAGAGACGGGGGAGGCTTTAGGAGATCCACCCCGCGAAGCCCGAAAAACACCAAGAAGAAAGCAACTCTAAACCCCATAGGGTTTAGGGTTTAGGGTTTAGGGTTTAGGGTTTAGGGTTTAGGGTTTAGGGCTTAAGCCCTTAACGCCCCAAGAAGAAAGCGCCACAAAAGGCCTGGTCTTGCTGGCCTTCGACTCCTGCCACTTGGTCCCGACCTCGGGGGCAAGATTGAACTCATGAAGGGTTAGGGTTTAGGGTTTAGGGTTTAGGGTTTAGGGTTTAGGGTTTAGGGTTTAGGGTTTAAGGTTTAGGGTTTAAAAATTGAACTCAGGTCCGTTCGTGCCGAGGGCTTAGGCTGTAGGGGTTGGTGTTCTGTGGTTAGGGTTTTAGGGTTTTGCAGGGTTTAGGGTTTAGGGTTTAGGGTTTATAGGGTTTATAGGGTTTATAGGGTTTATAGGGTTTGTGGGGTTTGTAGGGTTTATAGGGTTTGTGGGGTTTGTAGGGTTTATAGGGTTTATAGGGTTTATAGGGTTTATAGGGTTTGTGGGGTTTGTAGGGTTTATGGGTTTATAGGGTTCAGGGCTGCAAGACAGTCCCAACGGCCCAAGAAAGCCGGAGCCGCGCGAGTGAAAACCAGGCAGTGCTTATGGTTCGTGCCCCAGCAACTCGTCCCACCCCTTTGCAAAGCGCATGGACCTCGCACACTCGACCCTAAACCCGAAACTCTGAACTCTAAACCCGAAACCCAAAACCCCGCAACCCGAAACCCTAAACCCTAAACCCTAAACCCTAAACCCTAAACCCTAAACCCTAAACCTCTCTCCGCCTAAACCCTAAACCCTACACCCTGAATACTCCGAGAAAGGAACCCCCATCTTGCCGAACCACCCACTTCAAACAGGGACCATAACTTGCTGGTTCTTAGGTTTAGGGTTTAGGGTTTAGGGTTTAGGGTTTAGGGCTTAGGGCTTAGGGTTTAGGGTTTAGGGAATGAGGGAATGAGGGAATGGGGTACCCTATATGCCCCTATAAACTATACCCTTTAAGGGATTATGTAGGCTACCTAGCTCCCCTGCTCCCTACTAAGAACCTGGGGAAAAATTTGGAGAAGTGTCCAGGACGTGGATCTCGAACATAGGGGCCTTCTTTGATTTTGAGTCGGCAGTAAATTTGGGTAGTTCAGAACATAGGAAGTAAAGTTGCAAGGGGGGGGGGGGTTTAGTGAGTTTAGGGTTTAGGCCTGAGGGAGTTGGGGGTTACGAAATTAAGGAACCCTGATATAGACCCCCAAATGGTAGGATTCCCTTAACATCAGGACCCAAGAAGGTACCCAACCCTCAACCCTCAACCCTAAACCCTAAACCCTAAACCCTAAACCCCCAAAATCCTATAAACCCCACTCCCGCAAGCACTCGCGGCCGCCGGGGTGCGATGGTGCGCGAGTCTAAGCCATGGTCCTCATGCAGGCGGTAGAGGTCCTGGCAGGTTTCGGGTTTTGGGGCTTAGGGTTTAGTAACCCTAAACCCTAAACCCTAAACCCTAAACCCTAAACCCTAAACCCTAAACCCTAAACCCTAAACCCTAAACCCTAAACCCTAAACCCAAAAGGGACTTAAGCCCCTACTGTAGCCCAGAAAACTTGGCGTTTTGTGTGTTGGGACGTGGCAGGGTGTAGCTGCGGGTTTAGCATTCGGCTTGAATCGCATTGTTTGGACATCAAGCCGGCGGAAGACTTTAGGGTTTGGGGTCCATATGATGTACATATGGACATAGAGCTGAAAGCTGGACCCCACTGCCGCAGGATAGCCTCCCCGTGAAGCTTCATGAAACCCTATGTGCGACCCAAACCCATCAAACCCCAACCAACGTTGGAAACTCCAAGCCAAAAAAGAGCCAAAGCTGCTGGAACTAGATATACTTGTATATATATATATATACACACATATGCTATATATATATATATATAGATGTGCTCCAAAAAAACAGATTCTCTTCAGCCGAGTACGGGGAAGTGTGACCTGTCCCAAGAAGCCTCCCCGGTTGATCTAAACTCCCCTTACAACCTTAATGAAAATAATATCTTTTAATATCCTCTTGGGTTTTAGATAAACAAGAATACAGAAGAATTCCCAAAAAGGATATAGGTTTATGTAAGGGCAAACGACGACTCCTGGTCCCTCCACCCGATGGGGATGTCGGCCACATAGGCCTCGGCTCTCTCAACTTTAGGGTTTAGGGTTTAGGGTTTAGGGTTTGGGGTTTAGGGTTAGGCCGAGAGCCTATCATAGGGGAGAGGGGGGAGGGTTAGGTTTAGTGTCTGGGGTCTGGGGTCTGGGGCCTAAGGCGTCGGAGCTGGGCCCTAGGGCCTGGGGCTTAGGGCTTAGTGACTTACGGCTTCGGGGTTTAGGGTTTAGGGTTTAGGGTTTAGGGTTTAGGGTTTAGGGTTTAGGGTTTAGGGTTTAGGGTTTAGGGTTTAGGGTTTAGGGTTTAGGGTTTAGGGGTTATCGGGTGTAGGGATAGATCCTGGTGACGAATAAAGCGGGGACCGAAAGGGACTCCAAAATGAGGAAACGAATTACCCGGACCACAGGTCGTAGCACGCTGTGTCGTTTCAGAGCACTCGCTTCTGCAGGACTTCGTCATGCGGCGCCGACTGCGACTTTGAGGAACTGGTCTGGAAACGGAGTCTTTTGGTCCTCCACACTCTTTGCTGACAACTTGTTTGGACATCTTCTGAGGTCGGTGTCCAAAGCTAATTGCACTTTAGGGTTTAGGGTCTCAACCCTAAACCCGAAACCCCAACTGTAAACCCTAAACCCCACACGAACCCTAAACCCTAAAGCTCTGAAAAGTGGGCTTGCCAGCCCGGCCTTGCCCGGCCAAACCCATTTGCAGACATTCCAAAGAGCCCAGGGGTCATGAAACAATGCATACACTTTGTGATGTTCCCCCTTATACTACAGTAACAGTCCTTAGTACACCCGATTATCATCCCGATTAAGGACTGCTAGTATATGGTATATATATATAATATGTACAAGATGAATGACATGATTATATTAATAATCATAGAAATAATAATAAAAAAAATAGGAATAATAATAATAATCGACTTAAGACTTTGTATAATCGCAAAGACAGCCGAAGACCTACTGGCCCTACTGGCTGAGGTTGCGGGAGGTTTGGGGTTTCGTTTTGGCTGTAAGCCCCGCCAGTGCCGGGAAGCGGTTTAAGGTCTAGGGTTTAAGGTCTAGGGTTTAGGGTTTAGGGTTTAGGATTTAGGGCTTAGGGTTCAGGGTTTAGGGTTTACGGTTTAGGGCTTGAAGAGGGAAACAAATCCGAGCGACGGTGGGAAGCAGCGCGACCTGGCGGGTGTGGCTGGCACGCAGCTCCACCTAGCGACGGTGCGGTGGGTGGCTACGGGTTTAGGGTTTAGGGTTTAGGGTTAAGGGTTTAGGGTTTAGAGTTTACACTATATAACCCCTATGTATACCTTGTGGAGTCCTGTATACCTAAGTAGCCCCTGCATTACCCCTAAGGTCCCTTATAAGGCGCTTCCTGTTCAAGGCTGACCCCTCTAAGCCCAAAAAACCCTAAACCCTAAACCCTAAACCCTAAACCTAAACCCTAAACCCTAAACCCTAAACCCTAAACCCTAAACAACCCTCAACCCTCAACCCTAAACCCTAAACCCTATGCCCCTAAACACCTGAAACCTCAAGCCCCTGGACCTGAAGATGGAAGATCTGATCGTAGCCGTCGGACACCGCGCGGCCTGGGGCTCTTCTCTACAACTTGTGTTTGTAATATATATATATGTATATATGTATATATGTATATATGTATATATGTATATATGTATATATGTATATGTATATATGTATATGTATATATGTATATATGTATATATGTATATATGTATATATGTATATATGTATATATGTATATATGTATATATGTATATATGTATATATGTATATATGTAGATATGTATATATGTATATATGTATATATGTATATATGTATATATGTATATATGTATATATGTATATATGTATATATGTATATATGTATATATGTATATATGTATATATGTATACATGTATATATGTATATATGTATATATGTATATATGTATATATGTATATATGTATATATGTATACATGTATATATGTACATATATGTATATATGTATATATGCATATATGTATATATGTGTATATGTATATACATATGTATGTATGTATGTATGTATGTATGTATGTATCTGTGTATGTATGTATGTATGTATGTATGTATGTATGTATGTATGTATGTATGTAAACACCATACTATAACAAACATAGTTAACTATGAAATTTGGTTGATAGTATACTATAGTATAATATAGCTAAACATAATATGATGCAATATAATATAAGACAGCATAATGTAAAATCATATGTGTAACATAAATGCATTGATGTCATACATCTATGTAATCTCATTACCTATGGATTTACACTCGAGCGGCTGGTTAAGTCGGAAACGAGGTGGGAACATAAGGCGTGTGCAGGCTTGCTTTGAACTTTGAACCAAACAAGGTTGGGTCACTCAATAAATAATCGCTCGATGTACATAGTGACCAATCACGATAATGATAAGAACAATAATGCAATTAAAATAACAACAATAGCAATAACAAAGACGAGCAATAATATGTAATGATAAACATAACAATAACGTCGAGGGCCCTTGTCCTAGGAGTCGTGGAACCCTATCCCTAAACCCTAAACCCTAAACCCTACACCCTACACCCTACACCCTAAACCCTAAACCTAAACCACACGCGGGTAGAGAACTTACAGAACGTCCTCGAATCGAGCTGCCACTCGCTGACCTATTGCAATTGCCGCCTTCACCAAAACCTTCAATTCTGGGGTTCTGGGTTTAGGCTTTGGGGCTGCGGGCCTGTAGGGTATAGTATAGGGTTTAGGGTTGAGGGCTTAGGGTGTAGGGTGTAGTGTTTAGGGTCTATACAAACCCCAGTAAACACCCTCAGCACGCGTGCCTCTCAGGGCGTCCGCCGCAGTCCGCGATGCCCTCCGGTGTGCAAGGCAATTCAAAGAATGTTGCAGGGAGGGTATGTGCACCTCTTTCGACATACATCTCCCATCACAATGATCATACTCATAATATTCATAATATAACGAATATAAACATAATAATCACAGTCATCATCACAAGAGAAGAAACGAAACACAACGTAACCAGAATAACTTATGCTTGCCTTGTGACGTGATGATAGGGGGCTTACGCTGCCCTAAACCCTAAACCCTAAACCCTAAGCCCCAAACCCTAAGCCCTAAACCCTAAACCTGAGGGGACGAAAATGTCCTGCCAACCTTTAGGTGCCCGATCCCTTGGTTGAAGAGGGTTTGGGACTCACAACAGGTTCTGGGTGTACAGCTTAGGGTCTAGGTTGGGTGTTCCCCCTTAGACTAGCAGTCCTTGCTAGGGATTCTAGTACCCCTAAACCCTAAACCCTAAACCCTAAACCCTAAACCCTGAACCCTGAACCCTGAACCCTAAACCCTAAACCCTAAACCCTAAACCCTAAACCCTAAACCCTAAACCGTTAGTATAAGGAGAATTTCCCAAGGTCTAGGTGTAGAGTTTAGGGTCTTAGGTGTAGAGTCGAGAGGCTTCTGGTCAGGGCGCTTTGCGTAGAAGCGTCTTCGGCTTTGGGGCCTACAACTTATTTTAGGGTTTAGGGTTGAGGGTTTAGGGTTTAGGGTTCAGGGTTTGGGGTTTGGGGTTTAGGGTTTCGGGTTTAGGGCCTAAGTTTCGGGCGGAAGTGGACAAGAGGGCGTAGGCTGCCCAGAACTCCGAGCCCGAAGAGAAAAAATCAAAGCAGCCCAAAAACTAGTTCATTGTTTGGAGAATATTCAACATTTAAGTTTGTATTCCTTATTGGGTTTAAGCACGCTTAAAAATGTAAAATGATACCCAACTATGACAAAGAAAACCCGGAAGCCGACCGCAACCCCGGAAGCCGCTAAAACAGCTCGAAAGCCCTTCTTCCGGGTTTAGGGTTTAGGGTCTGGGGTGTAGGGTTTAGGGTTTAGGGTTTAGGGTTTCGGATCCTAAGCGAACCTGAAACAAACCTCAGGTGAAACCCCGAAGTAAGCCCTAAAAAAAGGCAGTCTCAGGCGCTGCTCGTCGTTGAAGCGGAGTATCACCGAAGAGGTCTTCGGGATATCTGCGCGGGATGGCCTTTCTGTGCTTAGGCACTTGTCTTAAGCCCTATGAGCCCTAAACCCTATAAACCCCGAACCCAAGCCTAAAAGGAACGCGCAGTGGAAGCAGTCGCCACAAGTTCTTGAATCCTGTGTTGGGAATCACGATACGGGGCTGCTCACTTCGGAAACCTTAGGGAGTTTTTTGGGTTTGGGTTGAGGGTTGAGGGCCTAGGGTTTAGGGTTTAGGGTTTAGGGTTTGGGGTGTCGGGTTTGGGGTTTGGGGTTTAGGGTTTGCTGTGATAGGGCGTAGGTGCTGTGAAGGTTAGGTTTCGGAACAAGCTCGAAAGTTTCGTGAGGTGCGAAGAGCAGCTTTGGCCCGATTGTGGAGGGCCATCTAACACTTTTCTCCCACCCCACGCCGTCCGAGGCGGCGAAGCCACCCAAACCTATTCCTTTTAGGGTTTAGGCCTAAACTCAAGGCAACAGTTCATTTTTAAAAACTTATTCAGTTTCATGATGTTCGGGGGTGGGTCGGAGACAAAGGGCGTAGAGTCAGGGTCAGAGGCGGGTCACCAGACGCCAGAGGCTCAGAGGGGCCAGGGAGGCCAGTCAAGGCCAACAAGGGCCAGGGTGGCCAGGGCCGTTTTTTAGCACCCACCCTGCCTGGCCTGGCCTGAGGCCCCCTGGTCCTTGGGGGTCCGGGACCCCCTGGGCGGGGCCCTGGGGGTACCCAATAACTTTATTAAAAGGGACCAGTACTGGTCTCCAAAAGAACGTGTTCCGGTACCGGGCCCATCGTGGGCGCTACCGACCTCCATGCTGTGGGAGGCGGGCGAACGACCTGGGTCGGCTTGTGCCATCGAGGTCAAAGCTTAAGCGCCGCCCCCCAACATAGGGGGCGGCCTGAGCCCTGAGTTTAGGGTTTAGGGCTCAACTCCCTTGATTTTCCGCACACTTCAGTACGGCCGAAGGGCTCGGCGAGCTTCAGCGACTGGTCCGGCGACAAACCATACTCCTTGAGCAGCTCCTGAGCACATGCGGTCACCTCTCTAAAACATCATCAGGTTTAGAGTTTCGGGTTTATGGTTTAGGGTTTAGGGCTAGACACAAGAGTACCCTGGGAATGAAGAAAAAGGGGATTATGAGGGAACCTGGACCCGAAAAAAGGGAGCAAGGGCCTACTCTGGGTCCTTGTTATGGTCCCTTTTGGGGTCACGGTTTTTAGGCGACAAACGGACCATAACTTTGAGGACTGACCATGTGTAGTTCTCTAAATGAGTGTCCGTTTTGGGGGGTCCAATGTTCTCAGAGTCTGGGGCTTAGGGTTTGGGGTTTAGGTCTTAGGGTGTAGGACCCCAGAAGGAGCTGCATCTAGAGAACCACCAAAAAAAGGTCTTGACAAAGGGTACCACAGGGCTACCAAGGATTCGCATGAACGCTGCTCGCAGGTTAGAGTGCTCACGGCTTGTAGGATCAGATCTGGGGTCCTGAATGAAACCCTAAACCCCAAACCCCAAACCCTAAACCCCTAAACCCTAAACCCTAAACCCTAAACCCCTAACTTAAGGGTCAAACCCCAAACCCTAAATCCTAAACCCAAAACCCTCAACCAAACCCTAAACCGTAGCTTGGCAGGAGGCCCCCCCCCCTTCGCAAACGCCGAGGAGCACGGACCATGGGCTCGTCGTAGTTCTCAGGAACGTTCAGAATCCTGCAAGGGCCCAGAAAAAGGAGGTTTGGGTTTGGGGTTTGGGGTTTGGGGTTTGGGGTTTAGGGGTTTAGGGTTTAGGGGTTTAGGGGTTTAGGGGTTTAGGGGTTTAGGGTTTAGGGTTTAGGGTTTAGGGTTTAGGGTTTAGGGTTTAGGGTTTAGGGTTTAGGGTTTAGGGTTTAGGGTTTAGGGTTTAGGGAGGGCCGACTCTGGGTCCTAGGAAATTGCGGAGGTTTGACGGAAGGTTTTGGGTACGGGGACTGGCTTAGGTCTTGGGGTTTGCGGTGCAGTGTTTGGGGTTGAGGGTTTGGGGTTTAGGGTTTAGGGTTCAGGGTTTAGGGTTTAGGGCTTAGGAGCCAACAGCCGGTGCCGACCCTGAATCGGGATGGTTTTAGGGTTTGAGGGTTTTAGGGTTTTAGGGTGTTGGGCGCTTAGGGTTCCTAACCCCCCCCCCCCCCCCCCCACCAAACAAGGGAAACCCTAAACCCTAAACCCTAAACCCTAAACCCTAAACCCTAAACCCTAAACCCCTAAACCCTAAGCCCCTAAACCCTAAACCCTAATAAGGGCATCATGGCGAACCTTGAAACCTCCACGCACTACGCCGCCGTGCGGTTGCGGTCCTCGCCAGCCAGAGGTCGGGAGGATCACTCCAGCGCGACCTGCCGTCAAGGGATCCGAATCCAAACTTGCAGCCCTGAGGTCCTGCTCCCCAAACTGGGCCCCAAACAGGGCTTAGGGTTTAGGGTTTAGGGTTTAGGGTTTAGGGTTTAGGGTTTAGAGTTTAGGGTTTAGGGTTTAGGGTTTAGGGTTTAAGGTTTAGGGTTTAGGGTTTAGGTCTAGGGTTTAGGGTTTAGGGTTTAGGATGTAGGGTTTAGGGTTTAGGGTTTGGGGGGTTGCCTCGGTTTACTCCTACCTGGCAAACTTGCAAGTAAAGGGCGCCCAAACCCCAGAGCTCAACCCTAAACCCTAAACCCTAAACCCTAAACCCTAAACCCTAAACCCTAAACCCTAAACCCTAAACCCTAAACCCTTAGGGGTTCAAGGCAGCGGCCCTTGATGCCAGGCTTGAGGTTCATCCAAAAAATCCCTGCACCCCAAGCCTTTCTCAGTCTAGAGGCGCAAGAGGCCCTAAACCCTAAACCCTAAACCTTAAACCCTAAACCCTAAACCCTAAACCCACAACCCTAAAACCTCAACCCCAAAACTCTCAACCCCAAACCCCAAACCCTAAACCCTAAACCCTAAACCCTAGACCCATCGCACTTCCGCCCCCCACCCCCCCCCACCCCCTCCTTGCTGGGGACGGGCTCGGGGTCTCCGAGCGGCCCAGTGGCTTGCGCTGCTGGTCCAGGGCGCGGGACCTGTGGTTGAAGAAACCCCTAAACCTTATTAAATGATTGAAAACTACCCAACAACTCCGCCTCACAACAGTCCTTTCTGTAGGGTTTAGGGTTTAGGGTTTAGGGTTTAGGGTGTAGGGTTTAGGGTGTAGGGTGTAGGGTTTAGGGTTTAGGGTTTAGGGTTTCGGGCTAGTAACCCAAGTATGTCTGTACATATAACCCAACTTTATGTTATAACCCTATTAGGGTACTTAAGGCGCTTATATGTGGGTTATAACTGCGCTTATCATGGGTTACCAAGTACCCTGGACCTCCAAGTAGGGTCTGAAGTTAGGACCAAGTGGCGGATCGAGTCCTGCAAATCGCACGGCACCACCTCAGTCGCCAGACGTCTGAGTTTCGGGGCTGAGGGGTTTGGAGGGTTTGGGGTTTAGGGTTTAGGGTTAGGGATTAGGTAGGGTTGGGGTTTAGGGTTTAGGGTTTAGGGGTTTAGGGTTTTGGGGTTGAATTCGGGGTTTGGGGGTTCAGGGATTTGGCGGTTTTGGGGTTTGGAGCCTTGGGTTATAGGAGAAGGCCAGCTAGGGTTCGGGTGCTAGCTGAAGGTGTGGTGGGTACCATGAAAATACCTTGTTCTCAGCTTGCTTTATTGGATCTCCACCACAGCATGTTCAATTCCATATGGCTTTGGAAACAAGAAATGGCCCAGAATGTAGCTTTCACCCTGAAGCCTTCACCTAACCCACATCTTCTTCTTTTGCTGTTCCGTGCACCCTCCTTTGCATGTTCGGGGCTCCCAATTCAACCGATGCACTAAACTGAAGCCTAGGACCCTCATCCCAGGAGCCCTGAAGCACTCGGGACTGTAAGGCTTCAGGACCTTTTTCGGGGATTTAGGGTTTAGGGTTTAGGGTTTAGGGTTTAGGGTTTAGGGTTTAGGGTTTAGGGTTTGAACCCTTTGCGGCACGGCTTCTGGGCCCCCAAACAGTCCCGGCAGGTGCTGCGGTCGGCGTTCTGCATGGCTTTGCAGAGACGACAGCGCCAATCGACTGAGCATCGGGTTATACAGGGTGATACAGGGTTCTATTGGGTTGTATAGGGTTGTGCAGGGAAATATTGGGATATAGGGATACACAGGGATATTGTATTGGGTTATAAGGGTTAAGTTATATAGGGTTCCACAGGGTTTTTCAGGGTGATACTGGTAGGGTGTCCCAGTTGGCGAGATAAAGGGCACCGTTGTTTTGCTTTCGAGGGCTTGTGGAACGCAAAAGCCCGTTGCAGCTCCAAAGAGCATCCCAGACAAGTAAACCCTAAACCCTAAACCCTAAACCCTAAACCCTAGGAGGTCCGGGGGAGATCAAGCGCGAAACGCTAAACCCTGAACACGAAATCGTTTCGATTTCGGCTCTTCGCCGGGTCGGGGTAGTCATGCGTTGTACCCTACAACCTAAACCCTCAACCCTAAACCCTAAACCCTAAACCCTGAACAAAATCCTGAACACTGCAGCGAGGAGATCTTAGGCCTGAGAGCCGATTAGGAAATCTGTCGCTGCTCTGAAGCGAGTGCGGTTCAGGGAACCCTAATGAAAACCTAAACCCTAAACCCTAAACCCTAAACCCTAAACCCTAAACCCTAAACCCTAAACCCTAAACCCTAAACCCTAAACCAAAATCCAGACCACTGCGGCTCCAGTGGCCGTCAGTGAAGCCTTCTGGGACGGAAGGCTTGGCCACCGAGACGCCAGAGAACCCCTCCTCACAGGGGCTCATGATCTCAGATCGCTTGATTCTTAAGTTAGGGGTTTAGGGTCTAGGGCTTAGGGTTTAGGGTTTAGGGTTGAGGGGTTGTGAGGGGTTGAGGGGTTGAGGGGTTGAGGGGTTGAGGGGTTGAGGGGTTGAGGGGTTGAGGGGTTGAGGGGTTTAGGGGTTTAGGGGTTTGGGGGTTTGGGGGTTTAGGGGTTTAGGGGTTTAGGTTTCGCCGAGGCTTGAGTGTGTACGTTCTCTGAGGGATCTCTGAGGGTAGTTCCGTGGTCCCTTAGTATGGGCCCTTAAACGGGGCCCCTCCCCCAAGCCCATACTTCAGAACCCTTTAAATGGGGGGTAAGGGACCGTCATCAGGGACCATATCACTATCCTTCTAGAAGGTCCTAGAATCCTATAACCCTGTAAAACCTTATGTGACCCTAGATTCTAAATAACCCTAGAAAGCCCTAGGCAAACCCTGGTGTGAACCCCGATGTAACCCTACACAACCCTCTAAAACCCTGAATAACCCTACATAACTCTAGCTAACTCTATAAAACCCTATATAACCCCTAGTTAACCCTGTGTGACGGGATGTAACCCTCTAAAACCCTGAATAACCCTACACAACTCTAGTTAACTCTATAGAAACCTATACAACCCTAGTTACCACAATGTAACCCTATCTAACCCTATAAAACCCTGAATGGCGCCATACAACCCCATGTAACCCAATATAACCCTATGTAACCCTACAAAGCCCTGAATAACCCTACATAACCCTAAGCCCAAAAGCCTCGACCCTCAAGCCCTAAACCCTAAACCCTCAGCCCTAAACCCTAAACCTTAAACTCCCGGTCTCAGGTTCTGGGTTTAGGGTTTGGGGTTGGGGGGGTTTAGGGATAGTAGAGAACACCACCACCCCGGATTGCGCCTATCGTAGCCTCTAAACCCTAAACCCTAAACCCTAAACCCTAAACCCTAACCCCCTACCGGCATGGTTGCGGATTCTTTTTCAGTTTAGTTTTTGGGGCTTTCTGGATCTGCAGCTAGCGCCCAAAAAGGTGCCCTTACTGCAATCTGGCTGCTGGGCTACCAAGTGCAAGAGGGTTTAGGCTTTAGGGTTTAGGGTTTAGGGTTTAGGGCAAGTAGGTTAGGGTGTGCAGGATTTAGGCCAGGATGAGGGTTTTCAGGGTGAGCGTCGTAAGCCCAAGACCTTGGACGAGATCTGAATGCTGAAAACCCTAAACCCTAAACCCTAGGACTTAAAACCCTACCCCTAACACCACTAGATCGGAGTGAGCTAGACCTGCAACCCTCAAACACAAAGACCACATCCCCCTACCGAAGCCCTGAAAGCAAACCTCCCAACTCCTCGACGTGCTTCGAGTTCTGGCCCTGAACCCCTGAAACACAAATCCCTATGTACAGTACCCACAGCCCCCCCAAACCGCCCTAAACCCTAAACCCTAAACCCCAAACCCTAAACCCTAAACCCTAAAGCCCAGAAGCCCGACATTTGAAGCCCGAAATCCTAACACCCTCCCCATTGCTCCTACAGCCGATGCCCTGTGAGTGTGGTCAGGGCTTTGGGTTTTGGGTTTTGGGTTTTGGGTTTAGGGTTTAGGGTTTAGGGTTTAGGGCTTAGGGTGTTTGGGGCCTGGGTCCAGTCGCCCCAGTCGTCGTCGGCGTTGGATTGCGCGTCCTCCGGGTCGCAGGCTCCATGTGTGAGAGTCACAGGATTTCAGGTTTGGGGGTACTGGTTGGTTGGAAAGTGTCTGAGGGTATTCTAAGGGGATGGCTTTAAGGTTTGAGGTTTGGGATGTAGGTTTTTGTCTAGGATGTCTGTATTTGGCAGCCACGACGCGCATGCCGGACCGTTGCCATCACTTAAACCGTTCCGGCAAGTTCTAGGCGATTTGTTGGTGCTGTTTATGTCCTACGGGAGGTCAAGAATAGTATGATCAGTACAGTACTACTCATAGAGACAAAAACTATCACTTCGGGGCCTTTGACTCCAATGCTTCTTCGAAAAAAATTGGTCTCGCGAAGCCTGCGCTGCTTTAAATGTCTGAGCGGTGGAAGAAGGTGCGAAGCGCATCGAGGGCAGTAAGCTGCTTACGCCAAGGCGGCCGGAGTCTCACGAAAGTTGCCTGTGCAAAGGAGGCGGCATTCGCGGTAGCAAAACACTGGCATTCCTAAAGCATCACTGCCCCAAACTCTAAAGGGTTTCATGGGTAGTGACTTAGTGATAGCAAGTTTTGGTGCCAGAGTTACCGGACTGCTGAAGCTCGCAGGGCATTGATATCTCGGCTTTTGATAAAGCAAGGATAGTTTAGGGTTTAGGGTTTAGGGTTTAGGGTTTAGGGTTTAGGGTTTAGGGTTTAGGGTTTAGGGTTAGGGTTTAGGGTTTAGGGTTTAGGGTTTAGGGTTTAGGGTTTAGGGTTTAGGGTTTAGGGTTTAGGGTTTAGGGTTTAGGGTTTAGGGGTTCTAAGCTATAGTTGGGTTGCGACCTTAAAGGTGGCACTGATTGATAACCGAGTTTAGGGTTTGGGGTTTAAGGTTGCCCACGCACCTCCAAATCCTAAACCACGATTCACCCAGAGGTTTAGGGTTTAGGGTTTAGGGTTTAGGGTTTAGGGTTTAGGGTTTAGGGTTTAGGGATTAGGGATTAGGGCCAAGGTCCTCCTCCTTCGACTTCGGCACATCCGGGGACTGCTCCGCTACTGGGCCAGGATTCTTCTCGGACTCCTCTGCTGAAGAAGCAGCTTTGCTTCGGGAGAAGCCTTGCGGCTATACCTAGGGGGGGCGGGGGGAGGGGTAAACCCTTTGACCCTAAACCCTAAACCCTAAACCCCAAACCCCAAACCCTAAACCCTAAACCCTAAACCGAGTCAGAGACCCAGAAGGGGCACCCCACAAATCGACCCGACCATGCCTTGAACTTGAGCTTAAGGCGTGTCTGGGAAGCCAAGTACTTAACGGGAAATTATAATCGGGTTTAGGGTTTAGGGTTTAGGGTTTAGGGTTTAGGGTTTAGGGTTTAGGGTTTAGGGTTTAGGGTTTAGGGTTTAGGGTTTAAGTCAATTTTATAACGGAGCCCCAAAACCCAAACAAAGGGGCAAAGGGGCAGCAAAGGGTTCCACTGGGCTACCACGGCTCGCAAGGAGCCTAAAGCGAGGCGGTCGCCAGAGGACCCTCCGGAACAAACTAAACCCTAAACCCTAAACCCTAAACCCTAAACCCTAAACCCTAAACCCTAAACCCTAAACCCTAAACCCTAAACCCTAAACCCTAAACCCTAAACCCATTTGCGACCTCAGAGTTTAAGAGGTGTGTACCGTAAAAATGCGTGAGGAGAAATGCAGTAAGGAGCTTGGAAGCCGCACCTCTTCCAAGCTCTGGTAGTAGTAGAAACCAGGGCCGACGGTCAAGGTCTGTAGGCCGCTGGGAAACTGCACCCCTTCCAAACTCTGGTTGGAATAACGGCCAAAGGTCAATGTCTGCAGGGCGCTTGGAAGCTGCACTCCTTCCAAGCTCTGGTTGAATTTATCGCCGAAGGTCAAGCTCTGTAGGCCACTGGGAAGCTGCACCCCGTCCAAACTCTGGTCGAACTCATGTCCGAAAGTCAAGGACTGCAGGCCGCTGGGAAGCTGAACCACTTCCAAGCTCTGGTTGAAATGATGGCCGAAGGTCAAGGTCTGTAGGCTGCTGGGAAACTGCACCCCTTCGAAGCTCTGCATGTATCCATAGCCGAAGGTCAAGGTCTGTAGGCCGCTGGGAAGCTGCACCCCTGCCAAGCTCTGGTTGAACTCATATCCGAAGGTCAAGGTCTGCAGGCCGCTAGGAAACTGCACCCAATCCAAGCTCTGGTTGAAATAACGGCCACCAAAGGTCAATGTCTGCAGGGCGCTGGGAAGCTGCACCCCTTCCAAGCTCTGGTTGAAACGAGAGCCGAAAGTCAAGGTCTGTAGGCCGCTAGGAAGCTGCACCCTTTCCAAGCTCTGGTTGAACGCATAGCCGAGGGTCAAGGTCTGTAGGCCGCTAGGAAGCTGCACCCCTTCCAAGCTCTGGTTGAACGCATAGCCGAGGGTCAAGGTCTGTAGGCTGCTGGGAAAGTGCACGCCTTCCAAGCTCTGGTTGAAATCCTTGCCGAAAGTCAAGGTCTGTAGACCACTGGGAAGCTGCACCCCGTCCAAACTCTGGTCGAACTTATATCCGAAGGTCAAGGACTGCAGGCCGCTGGGAAGCTGCACCCCTTCCAAGCTCTGGTTGAAATGATGGCCGAAGGTCAAGGTCTGTAGGCTGCTGGGAAACTGCACCCCTTCGAAGCTCTGTATGTATCCATAGCCGAAGGTCAAGGTCTGTAGGCCGCTGGGAAGCTGCACCCCTTCCAAGCTCTGGTTGAATTTATCGCCGAAGGTCAATGTCTGTAGGCCGCTGGGTAGCTGCACTCCTGCCAAGATCTTGTCGAAGTTGACGCCGAAGGTCAGGGTTTGTAGGACGCTGGGAAGCTGCACCCCTTGCAAGCTCTGGTTGAAATAAGGGCCAAAGGTCAAGGTCTGCAGGCCGCTGGGAAACTGCACCCCTTCCAAGCTCTGGTAGAAATCATGACCGAAGGTCAAGGTCTGCAGGCCGCTGGGAAGCTGTACCCCTTCCAAGCAATGGCCAAGGGTCAAGGTCTGCAGGCCGCTGGGAAGCTGCACCCCTTCCAAGCTCTGGTTGAAACGATAGCCGAAGGTCAAGGTCTGTAGGCCGCTGGGAAGCTGCACCCCTTCCAAGCTCTGATTGAAACAATGGCCGAAGGTCAAGGTCTGTAGGGCGCTGGGAAGCTGTACCCCTGCCAAGCTCTGGTTGAAGAAATGGCCGAAGGTTAACGTCTGTAGGCCGCTGGGAAGCTGCACCCCTTTCAAGCTCTGCTTGAAACCAGAGCCGAGGATCAAGGTCTGTAGGCCGCAGGGCAGCCGCACCCCAGCCAAACTCTGGTTGAATTCATCGTCGAAAGTCAAGGCAACAGCGACATCCATGGCATCCGTGTCTTGATCCCCTGTCTTCTCTAATGCCCGCTTTATGCTGCGTGCCGCGCAGCCTGCACCACATTTCCGCACCACAAAGGTGAGCTCTTGGTTTTGAGTTTGTCGCAGCAGCGGCTGGTGCAGTTCGAGGAGACGCCCACCTGAAGTCAACACGATTGACCCTGCGGAAAGGCCAACACTTCCTGCGACCCGTCTCCGCACATCCAGCCCCGTTTCCGCATCGTCCACTCGGAGCTCAATTGTCGACCCGGCAACACTATGGATGGTCAACGGCCACATGCTGGCGTCTCCGCAGCGACAAGACTAGACGAAGAATAGCGTCAGTTCACTTACGAGTTCTTCACAGAGAAATGCAGAGAATTCGGAAGCTATTTGACTCCAGACTTCAACGCGGCTTAAGACGGTGACTAAACAAACATGCGCACATGGACGCATTGGGATGCAAGCCGCACGGTGAAGGGCGGCAGAGAGCTCTTAGAATGTCAGAATCCGAACCTCGAACCCTAAACCCAGGTAGCCGTCTAGGGTCTCTCCAGGCAACCCTAAACCCTAAACCCTAAACCCTAAACCCTAAACCCTAAACTCTAAACCCTAAACCCTAAACCCTAAACCCTCCTGGCGGGGTTAGGGTTTAGGAGTGAAGGTCTGGGATTCACGACTCTTCAGAAGCAGGTGCGGTCGGCCTGACTAAGCCCCCTACATCGGACCACCTTGGAATGTAAGACCCTGTTGGTATATGAAGTCGGGGGTGGCTGAAAAACATGCCAGTACCCATGTTGATCCTTTTAGGTTGTGAGGTGCTGCTTTTCTGAAGTCTTGCCGCACTCAGTTGGGTTTATAAGTACAGTTGTAATTGGGTTACTAAGCACCATGAACCATAGGGCCGGGTTATAGGCCTTAGGGTACTTACATGGTCACTTCATATGGGCCCTTGATGGGGAACCCTTATATTCCCCGTATAGACTCTACTGAAACCCGAGGGCCCATAGATTTGGGGTTTGAAGATTTTAGCTTGAGCGTTTTGGGCATCGGTTTGGGACTAAAGCATAAACTCTAAACCCCAAACCCTGAACCCCAAACCCCAAGCCCTGAACCCTAAACCCTAAACCGGGAAAGTGTTAAGGTCTTTGGATTCACCCTAAACCCTAAACCCTAAACCCTAAACCCTAAACCCTCTCGTCCTTGCAGCTGGCGCCCTCGCTGGACTTCTCAGCCGCTTGCTCTGTGCTCGGCTCCGCTTCCTGTCTAGCCCTAAACCCTAATCCCTAAACCCTAAACCCTAAACCATAAACCCTAAGCCTTAAACCCTGAAGCCCCTAAACCCTATGAACCCTATGAACCCTATGAACCCTATGAACCCTATGAACCCTATGAACCCTATGAACCCTAAACCCTAAACCCTAAACCCTGAAGCCCCTAAACCCTATGAACCCTAGAACCCTAAACCCTATAAACTCGAAAATCCCTAAACCCTATGAACCCTAAACCCTATAAGCCCTAAACCCGATATACACCCTAAACCCTATGAACCCTAAACCCTGCAACCCGAAACCCGGAACCCGCACTGTTCCCTTAAAGACAGCAGGCCAACTTGGCACGCAGTTGAGACCTCAACAGGGCGCATACTTGCCCATTCACTACCCTAAAACCAAAGGGCAAGTGAACAGATATCAGATAACACTACAATAGAGATCATGGAAGGAACCCTCAACTGACTCAACCCCCGGCATCCGCATGGGGACCCTTATCAAGGTGGCAACTAAGCATCTGGCTGACCCCTGTATACAGATTTAAACCCTAAACCCTAAACCCTAAACGCTGGACCCGAAACCCGAAACCCTAAACCCTAAACCCGAAACCCTAAACCCTAAACCCTAAACCTCAGGGATTGAGGCTTCTGAGGGTCCTGAGGCTCCTCTTCCTTGGTCGAGGCAGCATGCGGGGACTCCGCCGGCGCGGGGCCTCCCTCTGCGACCTCCTGTCTACAGAGGCTGCTTGGAGTTTAGGGTTTCGGGTTTAGGGTTTAGGGTTTAGGGTTTAGTGTTTAGGGTTTAGGGTTTAGGGTTTAGGGTAACCCATTTTCAGTGTCGGTATAACCGACATATAAGCTGCTTAAGTAGCCTTAAAGGGCTATGATTGGGTTGTAAGTGAGGGCTTTTTGAGCTTAGGGTTTCGAGGGTTCAGGGCTTAGGGGCTTTGATGCTAGGTACAGTACCCTAAACCCTTAAGGCTGCGGGTCGGGCCACTTCGGCAAGCCCCGAAAACTTACAGCGTTTAGAGCTCCCAAGCCCAAAAACCCCAAAACCCTTAGACCCCAAACCCTAAACCCTAAACCCTAAACCCTAAACCCTAAACTCTAAACGAAAACACTCTCAAAGGCCCTCGACTCAAAGCCCGACGTGACCAGAGGTGTTGCGGCCACAAGGGTTGAAGGGCTTCAGGGCTTAAGGGCTCAAGGGTTTGGGGGGTTGATAATTTAAGGGTTTAAGGGTTTAAGGTTTTAAGGGTTTCGGAACCGCGCGTTCTGCGTTGTTTAGGTTCCCACGCTTCTGGCCAGGCAGACACCCCAAAGCCGAACACTCTGTTGGGGTTTGGGTGGGTTTAGGGTTAAGGGTTAAGGGTTAAGGGTTAAGGGCTAAGGGTTTAGGGTTTAGGGTTTAGGGTTTAGGGTTTAGGGTTTAGGGTTTAGGGTTTAGGGTTTAGGGTTTAGGGTTTAGGGTTTAGGGTTTAGGGTTTAGGGTTTAGGGTTTAGGGTTTCGGGTTTCGGGTTTCGGGTTTAACAGTTTAGGGTTTAGGTGGGGGGCTGCTCGCTGTCCTCCTCTTTGGGCACCACCGCCTCCCCCACCTGCGTTGATTGCTCTACACGACGTCCTTGCTCCTGGGCACAAGGGCTCGCAACCCCAAACCCTAAACCCTAAACCCTAAACCCTTAGCCCTTAACGCTTAACCCTTAACCCTAAACCCACCCAAACCCCAAACCCCAAACCCCAAACCCTAAACCCTAAACCCTCGACCTCTAAAAGTTGGGGCTTTCCGGCTGAAGGGTTCAGAAATTGACCAAAAAACGAAAGGTCCTTTTCGGGTTTGGGGTCCAACAAGGATCAGGATGGGAGTTTCCCAGTAGGGCACCTTATTTCTAAGCGGTGTTGAGGGCTATATATGGCTTCTATTCGCGGTATGTATCTCTATGTGTATATATAGTAATATATATATATATATATATACATATACATATATATATATGTATGTATGTATATGTATATGTATATACATATATATATATGTTCGAAAACAAACGAAAGCCATGGAGCCGTGCCCTCCTTTGCTAGGTACCGATCTCAAACGAAGGTACACACCACCCACCCTAAACCCGAAACCCGAAACCCTAAACCCTAACCCCAAACCCCAAACCCTAAACCCTGAATGAAAAGTGTGCCATGTTAAGGTCAGGCATGCAGCCGGAGGCTCCTCCGCTTGCTCTTGCGCTCTGGCCTCGTCCTGATCTGACCAAACCCGAGGACGCCCAAACCCGAACCCACTTCATCTCCACCCGGTCAGTGTTCAGGATCTAGGGTTTAGGGTTTCGGGGGTTTGGGGCTTCTGGTTTTGAATCTCGGGTTTCACAGAGCTCTAAACTCAACCCAAAAACGAAATCTAAGCCGCCCGACCCCCCCCCCAAAGCCGAGAAAACCCACAACCCAAAACCCCCTCCCCCCCCCCCCCCCCCCCCCCCCCCCCCCCTCCCCCCCCCCCCCCCCCCCCCCCCCCCCCCCCCCCCCCCCCCCCCTCCCCCCCCCCCTCCCCCACCCCCCCCCCCCCCCCCCCCCCCCCATGCCCTGCTGCCGAGCCTCCTCCATGCCCTGCTGCCGAGCCTCCTCTATGCCCTGCTGTCGTGCGAGCTCCTCCTCATCTGCCGGCTCCTTGTGAGGGGGTTTGGATTCAGGCGTTAGGGTTTCGGGCTGCGGGCTTGGGGTTTTCGGGTTTATGGTTTGGGGTTTAGGGTTTAGGGTTCAGGGTTTAGGGTTTAGGGTTTAGGGTTTCGGGTTTAGGGTTTAGGGTTTAGGGTTGAGGGCTGCAAAAGAGGCTTCAGGCTTAGGGAAAGCCATCGATCCGGAGCCATGAAAGCCCCCAAAACCCCTAACATAGGAGCCTGAATAGTTTTGGATAGGGTTATTGTAGTATAATAAAGGGACCATAAGGGCCTACAATTATCAATTCTTCCGACCCCTATGGTACAGCCACAAACCCAATCATCCTGAGCTCTAAACCCATGGGTTCCCCCCTAATTAAGGCTTTTTAGGGATAATTAAGCTTAATTAAGGTTATTTTAGGGGGGAACCTGGGGGGGGGGTAGTATAGACGGGGGGTAGTAGGGGAACCCATGAAAAACCCTCAACCAAATTTTGGGGTTGAGGGGCTCTCCCACGTGGGCGGAAGGAGTTCAAGATCGGGGCTTGCGGCCTACGTATGAATTTGAATTGGTAGTTTGTAGTATTGCTGTATGAGGATGATATGGGAAAAGTTTGCAATGGTGTAGGCTCGCCCTGAACCCTAAACCCTAAACCCTAAACCCTAAACCCTAAACCCTAAACCCTAAACCCTAAACCCTAAACCCTAAACCCTAAACCCTAAACCCTAAACCCGGGATTCCGGGCAATTTGGGCTTGGGCTGGAAGGGTGTGGGCTGCGGCGTCCTCCTCCTTGGCGGCCTCCTTACATGGAGGAGCCTAGTGGAAGCAGCTCATGCTGTGTCTCATCAGGAAACCCCTGAACCCCAAAGGATTAAGGGGTTTAGGGTTAAGGTTTAGGGTTTAGGGTTTAGGGTTTAGGGTTTAGGGTTTAGGGTTTAGGGTTTAGGGTTTAGGGTTTAGGGCTTCGGGTTTAGGGAGCCTTTACCCCTGGTTGAGATTATTTACACAGTCGTGGTGTTGGTGGGGTGCAAAGATGCAAAGTATCGCCCCAAGCCCCGAACACTAAACCCTCAAACCCTCAGCCATTTAGAGTCTGACGGCCTTTCAGGCGCGTTGCCAGGGGTTTGGGATTTTGCAGCTTTGGGTTTGGGCCTCGGTTTGGGGCGTTGCGGGGGTTATGGGTTAAGTTTAGAAGTTGACCTACGTCGCTAAACCCTGAGCCCTAAACCCTAAACCCTCAACCTTCAACCCCAAGCAAGCAGATCACTCAGCGAGGCGCCTCCCTCGGCCGACACACTTCAGGGGGTCAGGATGTAGGGTTTAGGGTTTAAAAATCAGCGGTTCGGGTTTAGGGTTTAGCGTAGAGGGTTTAGAGTTTAAGGGTTAGGGTTTGGGGTTTGGGGTTTAGGGCGTGCCAAACGGAAGCAAGTGGTTGAGACGAACTTGATATGAACTCGTCATTCAAGCCACCGATGAGTTGTGTCACATGGGTCGCTTGGAGCACTTGGGACACTTGGGTCGCCTGGAGTCAGACTTGGGACACTTCACAAAAATTGGACAAATGCGAACACTTGTGTTGCTTGGATCACCTGCGTCACTTGCGACACTTAGGTTGCTTGGGTCACTTAGGACGTGTGGCATTGCTTGGGTGAGCTGGAATGCTTCAGTCACTCGGTCACCTGGGGCATTCGGGTCATTTGGGTCACTTAGGACACTTGAGTCACTTCCAGTGGTGCGTTGCAAGGTTCACTTATGGGGCACTTGAGTCACTTAGGTCACTGTGTGGCACTCAGGGCACACTTGAGACCCCAAACTCTAAACCCTAAAGCCTAAACCCTAAACCCTAAACCCTAAACCCTAAACCCTAAACCCTAAACCCTAAACCCTAAACCCTAAACCTTGGTGCCACTTGGGTCAGAACAGTGGGGAGTACTTGGAGCGCAGTTTGGGTTTCTGGGGGGGTCACTTGGGTCACTTCGGGGCACGGTGGGACACCTCATTCACCGGGTCACATGGGGGGGGTTTCCGAATTTGGGGGGGGGGGACCTTTGTGGGGTCCTTGTTATAAGGGAGCCCAGACGGGCGACTGAGCTCACTGAGCGCTCGACCAGCGCCCGCCTATCCCCAAAAAACAAGGGAGTGGGGTGGCGGGTTGGGGAGGTTCGGTGCCCCTGAAACCTCCCTAATTAAGCCCAAGAAGCCAAGCAACATGTGAATGTGAGACAACTGAAACACCCTCAAACTCACCGCGCAAGACCCAAAACCCCATAACTCTATTCCCTAGAAGTTTAACATGTACAGGGCTCCCCAAATGCACCCCAACTCCTAAACCCTAAACCCTAAACCCGAATCCCTAAACCCTAACCCTAAACCCTAAACCCTAAACCCTAACCCTAAACCCTAAACCCTCAACCCTGTGCCTCGAGGAGACCCCAAACAGAGTCGGGTTCCTGCTCCTCGGCTTTCACAGCGGCTGACCTGCAGGGGAAGCCGCTGTTAGGGTTTAGGGTTTAGGGTTCAGGATTTAGGATGTAGTAGAGAAATCAGGGCATGTAGGGCATTAAGGCGATTAGGACATTGAGGGTATTCAGGGTATTCAGGGTATTTAGGGTTTGTAGGGTATTTCGGGCATTAAGGATATTCAGGGTATGTAGGGTATTGAGGGTATTAAGGGTAATCAGCGTATGTAGGGTGAGGTCTCACGGTATTCGGGTATTTGGGGTATGTAGGTTATTGAGGGTATTTAGGGTACGTATTTAGAGTTTAAGGTTTGGGGCATTTAGGGCTTGGTAAATCAGGGTTGAGCAAGGAACCGCAATTTTCTAGGTAGGGCCCGAAACCCCTGAGCCCTGCGCCCTAAACCCTGTACCCTAAACCCTAAACCCTAAACCCTGAACCCTGAACCCTGAACCCTGAACCCTAAACCCTAAACCCTAAACCCTAAACCCCAAACCCCAAACCCTAAACCCTAAACCCTACCAAACCCGACATCCACACCTTGGCTCTGCCTTGCTCGGCAAGGCCTTCGGCCGGGCTTTTGGCAGCCTACAGGGTTGAGGGTTTAGGGTTTAGGGTTTAAGGTTTCGGGTTTGGGGTTTAGGGTTACGGTTTAGGGCTACTACCCCTCTATACTACGCCCCCCCCTCCCCCCCCCACCCACCCAAGGTTCCCCCCATAATTAAGGCTAGGGAGAATTCAGCCTCATGAAGGATATTTAAGGCGGGAACCTTAAAAAGGGGTAGTAATAGAGGGGGGTAGTAGGAGGGTTTATCACGGAGGGTTTATAAGGCTTTGTAAGGGTTTATAAGGGTTCATAAGGGTTTGTCCAGCACGGCCCCTAGAAACCCCCTCAAGAAATCCATCTCCCTAAACCATAAACCCTAGACCCTAAACCCTAAACCCTAAACCCTAAACTCTAAACCCTCATAAACCTAACGAGGGGAAAGAGAAAATGTCCCAAAGCCTATATAGTTGTAAGGGTATAGAAGTGCTCCAAAACTTGCAGATCTAGTTAGGGCAAGTTTGGGTTTTTGGGTTTTGGGTTTTGGGTTTAGGGTTTAGGGCTTAGGGCTTAGGGCTTAGGGCTTAGGGCTTAGGGCTTAGGGCTTAGGGCTTAGGGCTTAGGGTTTAGGGCTTGGAAGAGAAGAAGTACCCGTGAGGTGAAGCAGAAAGGAAGCCAAGGAACTGCAACGGCTTCTTCGTCTTTGCTTTCGTCTTCGGGGCAAGCTTCCTGAGTTCAGGGCTTTGGGTTTAGGGTTTAGGGCTTAGGGCTTCGGGTTTAGGGCCTAGGGCTTAGGATTTGTCCTGAGTTCAGGGCTTTGGTTTTAGGGTTTAGGGTTTAGGGTTTAATAAGGTTTAGGGTTTAAGGCGTTGATTTAGGATTTCGAGTCTTGACTTAGGCCAAACTCCCATCGCATGCGGCTCTTTCAACAAGCATCTGCCTGGAGAATTCCACAAGTCTTCCCCGTACCCGCGATCACTGACTTCACGCCCTGCCCCAACACCTAGACACCCCATCCCCACCCCCCCCCCCCCAATTACCCCGCTCCACCCACCTTCGAAAACACAAATGGCGTAACAATATAGTCATATAATTCGAAATATGATATGTAAGAAATTCATTCATACATATGATAACTACACATGTAAACAACATAAATATGAATAATCTGCATAAATAAATAAATATATATATATATATATGTATTTATTTATTTTTATACTTATATACTTACTTATTTATTTACTTGTTTCTTTCTTTATTTATGTATTTCTTTATTGTTTATATCTATTCATTTATTTACTTGCTTAATTATTTATTGAATTTATTTGTTTCTTTTACATGTGTATATACATATACACAACATGTATAATGTATAACAATAAAGACTACACTCGCCCCCACACCCCCTCCCCCCAACCGCTGGCTCCTCGGCTCCTCCGCTCTCGGCTCCTCCCTTATCTCTCACCCCTCACCCCTCCCTCTCGGGTTTAGGGTTTAGGATTTAGGGTCTAGGGTTTAGGGTTTAGGCTTTAGGGTCCTCACCGACCCCCGCGGCCAAAAACAAAGAATCTAAAGCAGCACCGGCTCGGGACAGGTGTTGCCGGCTGCTTCCGCTTGCCACTCGCGTTGGGCCCCGGCCCTTCCTCCTGGGAGAACCCTAAACTAAACGCTAAACCCTAGACCCCAAACCCTAAACCCTAAACCCTAAACCCTTTGGGGGGAGGGGTCTCTATTTTAGATACACTCCTTAGTGTTGTAGGAACCCAGAGTTTGTTCGATCAATCCCAATGTCAAACTAAACCCTAAACCCTAAACCCTAAACCCTAAACCCTAAACCCTAAACCCTAAACCCTAAACCCTAAACTGATCGGCCTGATCCTCTGCGTTCTCCTCCTTCTGCTTCTGCTCCTCCTTCTGGGGCCAAGCCTTCCAGTCGGCCTCCTCCTCCGCCTCCTTCGACTCCTTTTCCGTGGCCCAGTCCTTCCAGTCTTTCCACGCATCCTTCCTGCACCATTGCTTGTTTTTAGGGTTTAGGGTTTAGGGTTTAGGTTATTGTTGGGTACTATCTAGAAACTGCTCATCTTTGTTCCTTCTTCCGTTTTAGGTATTCATAAATATAATCATTTTTGTTCTGTGTTGGGTTTCTAAGCTTATACGGTTATACGTATTCATAAACTATGCCATAAACACGATCATGGTTGTTCCTTATTGGGCTTAAGCACTCATAAACAAATGCAAAACTACTATTTGCTTAAGAACCCCAAAAGAATAGAAAAATGATAATCCCCATATTACCCTTAACAAGGAAGAATATTTGTTTATTTTTTCGGGGTTCTTAAGCAATGAGTAGAAAATGATGCTCAACAACGACCGAGATTCGGTGTCCACCCCTTCCAGCCCTCCCAGTCCTCCTTCCACGCCTTCCAGTCACGGTCTCGCCAGGTCTCCCCAGCTCCATCTCCCTGCCAGCCTTCTCCCTGCTGCCAGTCACCTTTTAGGGTGCAGGGTTTAGGGTTTAGGGTTGAGGGTTTGGGGTTTAGGGTTTAGGAAGAAACCCTTACGCCCTGAACCCTAGACCCAGATGGTTCTGGTACGAGGGCAGCGACAGCGGTAGGAGCTAGGTTGTTCAATCTTGCGTCCATCCAGGGATTGTCCTTAGTCAAGACCTGGAAACCCTAACCCACGTACTTGTATCCCCTAATATATACTTCAAGACCCCATAATTCCCGCATTCCCTACTACGAACCGGTAAGCTAAACCCTAAAACTCAACAGGGGGTTATAGGGGACCCTGGATACAGACCCCAAATAGTAGGATCCCCGTATATTAAGGACCCCAACAAGGTACCCCCTAATTTCGGGAACCCTAACCCTAAACCCTAAACCCTAAACCCCCTCCCCCCATCTTCCCTGAACTTTGCCAAAGATCCGGTCCGAGTAGCCCTAAACCCTAAACCCTAGACCCTAAGCCCTGAACCCTAAACCCTAAACCCATATTGCCAGAGATCCGTCCGAGCCGCCCCCTTCCTTGCGTTGCTGCGCTTCCTTCGCCGCCTCCTTCGCCGCCTCCTTCGCGCGCCTCTCAGCCAAGCCTCGGTCCTGCATCTCTTGCCGCTTCAACCTGTCGGATATGAGGGTTTATAAGGTTGAGGGTCTAGGGTTGAGAGTTGAGGGTTTAGGGTTAAAGGGTTAAGGGTTTAGTTTGTAAGGTTTAGGGTTTAGGGTCCGGGTTTAGGGTTTAGGGTTAAGGGTTAAAGGGTTAAGGGTTTAGTTTGTAAGGTTTAGGGTTTAGGGTCCGGGTTTAGGGTTTGGGGTTTGGGGTTTGGGGTTTGGGGTTTGGGGTTTGGGGTTTAGGGTTTGGGGTTTGGGGTTTGGGGTTTGGGGTTTGGGGTTTGGGGTTTGGGGTTTGGGGTTTGGGGTTTGGGGTTTAAGGTTAATGGGGTTTGGCGTTTAGGGTTAGGATTTCGGGTTTAGGGTTTATGGGATGCAACTTCAGCTGCTTCCGAACAAGCATGCCCCAGCTGACCTGCAGCAGCTTGCAAGCATTTGAAAATCCGAAGCCCTGCGCCGGTTATGGGGTATAAGGAAGGTTCCCTAGAATGGGCCCTTAAAACTTAATCATTTTCTCCTAGAAAAAAAGAACCTCTATATATACCTTATATGGTCCCTATATACCTGAGAAGCCCCTAAGAACCCCCTAAGGTCCCTTGTCGAAACCCTAAACTCTAAAACCTCAACCTCAAACCCCAGCAAGGGGTTTTGTTTACTGCATCACCCTAAACCGTAACCCTAAACCCTAAACCCTATTTGGGGTTTTGGGTTTTTCGGGTGAAGGTTCAGGGTTCTTTCCATACTCGGGGTATAAGCACTTTGGGAAAACCCTACACCCCAAATCCGAAACCCTAAACCCTAAACCCTAAACCCTAAACCCTAAACCCTAAACCCTAAACCCTAAACCCTAAACCCTGAACCCCAGAGTGAGCCTTTTCTTCTCTTCCTCGCGGGCGGCAACAAGATTCCGCGCCATGAGCCAGAGGTTTAGCGGCGCCTTCCGTGGCAGTCCCGAGTCTCAGGGGTTTGGGGTTTAGGGTTTAGGGTTTAGGGTTTAGGGGTTTAGGGGTTTAGGGTTTGGTTTAGCTTGGGGGTTGACATGCTTGAGCCTGAACCCCAAATCCCTGAAACCCTCAACCCCAACCGGAACCACCCCACACCCCACACACTAAACCCCAAACCTGAAACCCAAAACCTGAACCCCAAACCCTGAACCCTAAACCCCAAACCCTGAAAAGCCTAAACCCCAATCCCTGAACCCTAAACCCCCAACCCCAAACCCTAAACCCTAAACTCCAAACCCTACACCCTGAACCCCAAACCGCAAAGCCCGAAACCTAAACCATATAAAACCCCCAAACCCCAAACCCTACAGTACACCCGAAGCCCTAATCCCGAAACCTCAAACCCTGAACCCCAAACCCCAAACCCTCGAACCCCTGAACCCCAAACCCTAAACCCTAAAACCCAAATCCTAAACCCTAAACCCCAAACCCTAAAAAACAAACCCTAAACCCCAAACCCCAAACCCCAAACCCTACACAAACCAGGCGAGCCGAGCCTTCTTGGGCGCGGGCCCTGGCATGACCTTACTCACCTTGCCGCCAGCTTCAGGATTCTCAGGATGAGGGTTTAGGGTTTAGGGTTTAGGGTTTAGGGTTCAGGGTTCAGGGTTCAGGGTTTAGGCTTTAGTGTTTAGGGTTAGGGTTTGGGGTTTCGGGGGTTTAGGAAGATTTCAGAGGCGTCACGTTGAGTCCGCGAGCTTCTGGTGGATCCGGTGCGCATCCCGCGGCCTGCCGGGCTTTCCCAAAATGACGGTTTCGGGTTTAGGGTTTAGGGTTCAGGGTTTAGGGTTCAGGGTTCAGGGTTCAGGGTTCAGGGTGTAGGGTGTAGGGTGTAGGGTGTAGGGTGTAGGGTTCAGGTTTTAGGGTTTAGGGTTTAGGGTTTAAGGCTTAAGGTTTGCAAGGTTGCCAGAAGGGTACCCTAATACTTGGGAAACCCCCCAAAACTCGACCCTAAATCCAAAAGACCTGCCCCCTACCAACCCCCCTCCTCCACCCGCCTCCTCCCCCCCTAAACCCTAAACCCTAAACCCTAAACCCTAAACCCTAAACCCTAAACCCTAAACCCTAAACCCTAAACCCTAAACCCTAAACCTTCAACCCTAAACCCTAAACCCTCCTTCGCCCTTCCCCTTCTCTCCCCCCCCCCCCCCCCCCCCCACCAAACTCGTAGGCCTTCAACCCCAAACCCTGGTGTAAGGAGGGACCCCTATAGAGGGACCCTTAATCTTATTTTTTTTGTCTGATGTCGATATAAACCTTATATCGTCCTAAAACCTAAGTAGCCCCTAGAGAAGCCCCCCCCCTCCGCCGCCCTCCCCCCCCCCCCCCCCATTCCGCCCCCCCGCCCTCCCCCCCCCTGTCCCCCCCCCCCCCCCCCCCCCCCCCCCCCCCCCCCCCCCCCCACCCCTCCCCCACCTCCCCCCCCCCCCCCCCCCCCCACCCCCCACCCCCCCCCCCCCCCCCACCCCCCCCCCCCCCCCCCCCCCCCCCCCCCCCACCCCCACCCCCCCCCCCCACCCACCCCCCCCCCCCCCCCCACCCCCCCCCACCCCCCCCCCCCCACCCCCGCCCCCCCCCCCACCCCCCCCCCCCCCCCCAACCCCCCCCACCCCCCGTCCCACCCCCCCCCCACCCCCTCCCCGGCCCCAATAGTATGCAATCCCCCCTCTCCGTGGTTGATGGTCCCCCCCCTCCCCCCGTGGTTCATGGTCTGTGGTTGATGGGTTTGTGGTTTAGGGGTTAGGGTAGGGTTATATAGGCTGTAGAGTTCAGGATTTTCACTCGGTTCATTGTGGGGTTAGAGTTTAATCAGGGTTCAAGGTTTGGGGTAATGGTAGGTTTACGGTTTCCCGTCTCCCCCTTGTGGTTCGTGCTGAGTTTACGGTTCAGGGTTCAGGGTTGAAGCGGCTAAGGTTTCGGGTTTACCCTTCTCCCTCCTGTCGTTCATTGGTGGGTTGGGACACGAAGTACCATGAACCTCCAAGTGCGAACAGACCTTACCAGGGATGATAGTAGGGGGTACGAGAATCCCTGGGGGAACATCCCATCCTCCAACCCCCTTAAGAAGGCCCTTTATAGGGTTGATTAGGGTTTAGGGTTTAGGGTTTAGGGTTTAGGGTTTAGGGTTTAGGGTTTAGGGTTTAGGGTTTAGGGTTTAGGGTGTAGGGTTTAGGGTTTAGGGTTTAGGGTTTAGGGTTTAGGGTTTAGGGTTTAGGGTTTAGGGTTTAGGGTTTAGGGTTGTATGCCCTATAACCCCGTTAAACAAGGCCCTTTATAGGGTTGATTCTGGGGGGAGCATCCCAGATTCCATGGGATAAGGGTCGAGGAGTTCGATGGCTCCTTGAAAAGGGGAGAGAACAGGACCAAAGAGTTGGATCACAACTGCAGCCCTAAACCCTAAACCCTAAACCCTGTTCCCCTTTCATTTTCGGCTCACCTGTGGGGTTCCGGGGTTCCCTCGCGAAACCCATGGGGTAAGAGGGGTCACAGAAAGGGAAGGCACAGGCTGGTAATGAGCAAAAGGCCTTAGGGTTTAGGGTTTAGAGTTTAGGGTTAGGGTTTAGGTTTAAGGGAGACAAGTTATAAGGAGGTACCCCTAGAAGGTACCCTTAATCGTATTAACCCTTGTGTATACCTTACAAAGTCCGTATATACCTACGTAGCCCCTAAATAAGCCCGATTCTTTGCTAATGTCCCTTATAAGGGTTCCTCCTTTCGTTCCTTGATCCCTAGCCCTCGGCCCTGAGCCCTAAACCCCAAACCCCAAACCCTAAACTTCGTGCATGGACTTCGATCTTTAATCAGAGTCAATATCTGGAGCAGATTCAGTGAGATTGGTTGTAACGACAGCGCTCCAAAGACGTCTTTTTTGCATTCCACTAACAACTTTCCAACGCCGCGTATACGCGCGCCGGAGACGCCCCTTTGTATCTGACAATGGCAAATAACGTGGCAGGGGCCGTATTTCTGAGATGGTGAGAGTGTATCGGACCGAAATCGAAGGAAAAATTGACTAGAACGCGCTGGGGCCTAGGTTTGGGAGACATGAGGGCGGTCGAGGTCCAGACATCAAGGAAGCACGGGCAACAGGTCTTTTTTTAGAGCTTCAGCCAGTTCTTGTCTCGACGGACGTCGAGAAAGTCTTGGGTCCGTGGCCCGGGGCCCGCACTCGCTCCTTCCTATACATGGCCAAGGCGTGCAAAATTGTTCCGTACCCTGGCTTTCCACGGAGACGCTGTGTCGCTGGCGTGAAAATGTCTATGGTCTGCGGGGAAGACACGCTCTGCTTGCGCATTGCGCGTAATGCGGACGGAATCATCGTGCGGGCATGGATGCTCTGGCCAATCGCACGGACTGGCAACACGGACGGAATCATCTCGCGGGCATGGATGCAACACGGACGGAATCATCGCGCAGGCATGGATGCTCTGGCCGATCGCACGGACTGGTAACACGGACGGAATCATCGTGCGGGCATGGATGCTCTGGCCAATCGCACGGACTGGTAACACGGACGGAATCATCGTGCAGGCATGGATGCTCTAGCCAATCGCACGGACTGGTGGAAAACGTGGCAGGCAAGGCTTCGAAAACACTGTAAACACCGATGTGGCCGCGGCGTCGTCGGCGCGCGTTTACGTGCCGTTGGTACCCCTAACAAAGGCCGACAAGATACAAAGCACGCAGTCATGGGATATCAGTTTATGGATACGTTCATTTCATTCGATCTTCTCTTGAAGACGTTGAATAAAAGGACCACATTCAAATTAACACCGAAACCCCAAGTCCTTGCGGACTCCAACACCCCTTCATTGAAGCGTCTTCCTCAAACAAGAAAAAGGGGTCCTTATATGATGTATGAATACACCTTGCTTGATTGAGGGTTTAGGGTTTAGGGTCTAGATTTAGGGTTTAGGGTGTAGGTTTAGGGAGTCTCTTGGAGGTTTTGTTTGTGACTGTAGGGTTTAGGGTTTAGGGCGCGCATTGCCCGGCACTGCTTGGCATTCGTGCGTGGGACATGCTAGGACGCCAGGCCCTGAACCAGAAAAGCCTAAACCCTAAACCCAACACCCTAAACCCTAAACCCTCATGTTTTGTTCAGCTCCTCATAATTTCAAGAGGCTTGCAATCAAGCCTAAATGCTTTCTTCCCTTGTTGAAGCAAGCTGAAGGTGACACATACGCGTCGCCATATTCCACGACGCCGATCAATCCACTAAGGCCTGTACGATAGCCGCCCAGTTGTAAAACTGGGCAAAGGGCGAATACAAAAAGTGAGTACAATCCGGATAGCAATGCAAGTCATGCCGCAAGACGAAATAGTCCTAGGATGGCCATTAGAACCCAGTGAAAGTATTCCTGCGTATGATCCTCTTCAACCCTAGACCCTAAACTCACCCAAAACCCAATAAGGGGAAACATAAAACGTCCCAAGGCCCGACCAAGAATCGAACGCATCAGCGATGCGCAGGTGGCGCCTTGCTTGCGGCATGACCTTTGCTAGCCATCGAAGGAACTCCCGATGTCGCCACCTTAGCGTTTCCAAGATTTAGGGTTTTAGGGTTTTGTGACTGGGTTTGTGCGGGTTTAGGGTTTAGGGTTTTGGGTTTAGGGTGTAGGGTTTAGGTTTAGGGCAAGACGTCTGCGGCATATGCATGACTTCACCCTATTTAGGGGGGGGGGGGTCAAACAAGGAAACGAACTAGGGCCCTAAGGAAGGAAGCTAAAAGGAAGTTAACAGTAGGACTGTTCGGGTATGATCACACGGCCTCGGTGCTGTACAGAAGACTCTAAAGTAGGGTAGATCTTACAAGGCTTTAGGGTTCAGGGTTCAGGGTTTAGGTCTAGGGTTTAAGGTTTAGGGTTGAGGGTTTAGGGTTTAGTTATGTTGCGGAGGTTCTGATAGTGCTGACCCTGGAATTTTGGGGCGTGGAAGTGTCTTTCCCAAAATAGGGGTACCCCTTTTAAGTAGAATAGGATCCCCTGAAGGGTACCCGAACTTCCGGAAACCCCATGGAAGGGAGGGGGAGTGAGGCATAAACCCTAAACCCCAAACCCCAAAAGGGGGAGGGGGGGGAAAGCCTCGTTGGGACATGCCCCACCTCGCTCCAGACACGTTGGTAATCGGCGCACAGTCCCCCGACAAGCTTTTTCGCTTCCTGTGGGGGTTTAGGGTTTAGGGTTTAGGGTTTATGGTTTAGGGTTTAGGGTTTGGGGTTTAGGGTTTAGGGTTTAGGGTTTAGGGTTTAGGGTTTAGGGTTTGGGGTTTAGGGTTTAGAGTTTAAATTTTAGGGTTTTCGGGTTTTCGGGTTTTCGGGTTTTGCGGGTTTTCGGGTTGAGGGGGAGGCCTTGGCGCCCCGTAGAGTCCGGACCCATCCTTCGCTGGGAAATGTTGCGGATGAGTTGCCAACCACACCAGCTGCTCAATGTTGGTCGCCCGCAGCACAGGAAGCACCTGACGGGTCATCCCCTCAGCAAAGGTCCTGGGGTCATTCTCATGAACCCCCCAGTTCAGAATCACGTAGGAGTAGGTGCTGAATCGGGCACCTGCTGCTGCTTTAGAATTCTCCGCAAACGAAAGCATCAGACTGGAGCAGCTTGAGTGCAGTGCAATGTGCGGGTGAGTCGCCTCAAAGATGCATTGATGTTCAATGCTGGTGTCGCATGCCTTCCACAATGGCAACGACTTGTTTTCATCTTCACGATAGTTCGCACTAAATGAGGAGCACCAACGACGCCGTCTCCATCCGAGGCGCATTGCACCGAACACACTCGCCATGTACAGATCCTGCATCAGCGAGTCGCCCACGAAAAGCAATCTGCAAGGCGGCGCCCGAGACACAAGGCGCAGCAAGTCGAGCAATGACTCCAACGCAGGGGCTTTCTGACCCGTAGCAATGACTCGCGAGGCGCGGCCAAGAGAGTCCGCAGGCATTTCACACTTTAACGTGCGGCTGTGCCCCAAGCAACCATGCTTTACGTGGAAGGAGCATTTGCCACCCTTAGCACCAAGCTGCTGCGGCATTAAGGCCACTCGTAGCTCATCATCAGAAGCTTGTCTCCACGAAGCCGGCGAGCTCTTCTTGTCCAGCGCCGCTCTCCAATCGGCGACCCAGGCCATCGAGGTTTTTTCGGCTGGGCGGGGGGAGGGGGCCGATGCCCTTGCGTCACCCCGACTCTCAGTTGCTGATGGCCTCGCACCCCAACCTACACTGAACTTGAAACCCTAGCAAGAATCACGTTTTTCGCTGTTTCTACCCCAAAAAAACAAAAAAACGATTCCCAAGTAGCCCGAAGCAACGCCACGGGTGGAGGCGCAGGGCTAAGCTGAGAAAGAGCAGTCCAGCAAAGGCGGCAGCCGTGGCCGTCAGAATAAATGGGGCCATCGATTTCATGAGCTCAGCTCTCACCGTTCTACCAATTCGGGTTTAGGGTTTAGGGCTTAGGGTTTAGGGCTTAGGGCTTAGGGCTTAGGGCTTAGGGCTTAGGGCTTAGGGCTTAGGGCTTCGGGCTTCGGGCTTAGGGCTTAGGGCTTAGGGCTTAGGGCTTAGGGCTTAGGGCTTAGGGCTTAGGGCTTAGGGCTTAGGGCTTAGGGCTTAGGGTTTAGGGCGCGAGTTTTCGCACATCCACGGCCGATGCTATGCTGTGTGTCTTTTGATGTCTCGGGATCGACTCTAGACGAGTAGAGGGCAAGTTGCTGACCAACACATATGTAGCACATCCATTTTGACCACAGCCCGCGTGCGGGACGAGGCACTGTAGAGCCTAGACCGAATCGCACACCTGAAGCCCTCAATCCGAATGAAGCTCCTGAACATGCAAGCCCTGAGCCCCAATTACCAGGTTCTAGATCGTAATCAGGTTCAGCCCCCCACACCCCCCAATCCCGAAGTGCATGGAATCGACAGGTCATGCTAATGCTGGGGCTTAGGCTGCAGCGCTTCCCGTCGTGAGGCGTTGACACAGGCAGGGTTTGGGAATCATTCGGTTTTCGAGGGGTTCGGGCTCCAACCCAGGTTTTAGAGTTTGGGGTTCAGGATTTGGGGGTTTAGGGCAGTTTAGGGTTTAGGGTTGCAGAGGATGCGTCAAAAACCTGAAAAGAAGCTCAGAGAATGTCAAACTTGGGCGTCGGGTTGCAGTTTCTCTGGTCTAAACCCATGGAAACATTTTCTGCCTCCAAATTGTGGGGATATAAATGGTCATTTACTCAAAAATGATGGTCCCCTTTTTGAGTAATTACCCTGAATATTCGGGTAACCCCCCCAAAACACCATAATCTACTAAATAATAATCCCGATATTACCCTTAATCAGGAAGAGTATCTTTATTTTTTCGGGGTTCTTAAGCAATTAGTAGCAACTTAGAGAAATCACACCATAGGTTCGGCCTCTAATCCCTCCAGTCCGTGAGTCTCTGTGGCTCCTTGAGGGTTTAGGGTTTAGGGTTTAGGGTTTAGGGTTTAGGGTTTAGGGTTTAGGGTTTAGGGTTTAGGGTTTAGGGTTTAGGGTTCAGGGTTCAGGGTTTAGGGTTTCTCACGGTCCCTTCTTTCAGTTACAGGGCGTGGCTCTCATGGGGTTCAAAAGGGAGGGGGGCTGAAGGGGGCATGTAACCCAAGGTTCCCTCATGCTCCTTAAGGCTCCCTAAGCTTCCCTCAGTTTCCCTAAGTACCTACCCCCCTATAAGGACCCTGTAAGGGTCCTCTTTCATATTCTGACAAGGTTCTTTGCCACACTAACCATTGCTTGTATCTGACTCAGCTAAGACATTTCTGTGGACGCCGTCGACATTTGTCTTTCCTAGTTGATGAGTACCCTGGCCCCAAAAAAGGTGATTTAACCCTTTCAGTTCTGGTAGGATTGTACACACTCCAAAAGGTTAAAAGTTATCTACTGAGCTACTAAGCCTTACTTTGCCATCTTCGTGCTCGATTTCAAAATAGATGCCGTACGCATGCCTGATATCCATGTCGTTCCTTTCATATCTGGCTCACGAATAAGCCCTAAACCTAAATCCTAAATCCTAAACCCTAAACCCTAAACCCTAAACCCTAAACCCTAAACCCTAAACCCTAAACCCTAAACCCTAAACCCTAAACCCTAAACCCTAAACCCTAAACCCTAAACCCTAAACCCTAAACCCTAAACCCCACCCCGGCGCCTTAGCCTCGTGGTCGCTCCGCCGCTGGGGCTCAGGCGGACGGGGCTCTGGCGACCGGGCATCCGTGCTTGGGTCCTCAGGAGTGGAAGGGGTTTGGGGCTTAAAGTTTGGGGTTTAGGGTTTGGGGTTTAGGGTTTGGGATTTAGGGTTTAGGGTTTAGGGTTTAGGGTTTAGGGTTTAGGGTTTAGGGTTCAGGGTTTAGGGTTTAGGGACTACGTGCGGGGAAGCGCAAGGCTCACCTGAGCTGCCCTGAGCACTAACCCAAGTGAAGGTTCAGGCAGATTTAGAATTTAGGGTTTAGGGCTGAGAGGGTTTCAGGGTTTTAGGCTTGGGGGGACGGCTCAGACGCCCCATTCAACGATCCGGGAAGACAAGCTCATGTGGACATTGCGTCAGAAATTTCACTTCTGCTCAGAGAGATGTGGTTTAGGGTCACTTCGCTCAAGTACGGTCCCTTTTGGGGTCCTTACTATAAGGCGATTTTAGGGCACCCAAAAAGGGACCATTATGTTGAGAAATGGGAGGGGGCACTATCATTCCTAGTAAGGACTGTTCGTATAATCCCTATTAAGGACTGTTAGCATAATCCCTATTAAGGACTGTTGGTATAAGGGGGAACATCCCAAGTTCAAGACTTTTAGATTGAAGATTGAAGGCTGGAGATCTGTGAGAGGACGTTCTTCGGGGACTCTGCGCCTTCTGCCTACAAAATCTTCAAAAGCGCTTGTATAGGGCTTATGGTTAAGGGTTTAGGGTTTAGGGATTGGGGATAGTTTACATACATCTGCCTCTGCAGACTGAAGACTGAAGACTTCTGTGAAGAAAAACCTGTGAACCTTCAATCTTCAGTTGAGAATACTTGGTTAAAGACTTGAAGGCGACAGGCATTTAACCATGTTTCATCAATATGTTAGAGGCCGCAATCGAAGATTCGCCAAAATACTTTGACTAGAAATGTACCCTTGCGGAAGGAATCCTTCAGAGGCTTCAGGAATAGCGGTGCGTTGTAGCAATATGGAAAACAATGCATGCACCCAGGCTGCAATGATAGGCTGACATGTGGAAAGCAACGAGCGCACACATGGGACAATGATGGGCCGATTGAACTTTAGGGTTTAGGGTTTAGGGTTTAGGGTTTAGGGTTTAGGGTTTAGGGTTTAGGGTTTAGGGTTTAGGGTTTAGGGTTTAGGGTTTAGGGCCTAGTTCAATGGAAAAACAGTTGAATTCACTGGGCCTATCATCCAAGATTCAAGATTTCAGGGGGACTCTGAAAGGGAATCTTGGAATCTTGGATCTCGGATCTCGGATCTGGCCCGATCCTATCCCCCCCCCCCTCGACTCCCCCTGAAGCCCCCTAAACCCTAAGCCCCTAAACCCTAAGCCCTAAACCCTAAACCCTAAACCTTAAACCCTGAACCCTAAACCCTAAACCCTAAACCCTAAACCCTAAACCCTAAACCCTAAACCCTAAACCCTAAACCCTAAACCCTAAACCCTAAACCCTAAACCCTAAACCCTAAACCCTAACCCTAAACCCTAAACCCTAAACCCTAAACCCTAAACCCTAAACCCTAAACCCTAAACCCTAAACCCTAAACCCTAAACCCCTACCCCAGAACCCCCTCCCTGGCCTCGGTCAAGAGGCGCCGGGCCTTGCTGGGCACCGGGGCGCTGGAAGGCTTCCTTCGCTCACATGGACGTTTGGGGTTTAGGGTTTAGGGTTTGGGGTTTGGGGTTTAGGGTTTAGGGTTTCGGGTTTAGGGCTTAGGGCTTAGGGCTTAGGGCTTAGGGTTTAGGGTTTAGGGTTTAGGGTTTAGGGTTTAGGGTTTAGGGTTTAGGGTTTAGGGTTTAGGGTTTAGGGTTTAGGGTTTAGGGTTTAGGAGGTGCACACACGGCGTTTGCAGGGTTTTAGGGTTTGGTTTTGAGTTGTTCTCCATTTGGCATGTACTATGGCCTCATCATGATGTAGCCGAAACCCTAAACCTAAATCTTGAACCATAAACCCTAAACCCTACACCCGAAACGTTCGCGCCAGAGTTGCACCCCTTCATGGGCTTCGGGCGTTGGATCCGTGGACTCGAAGTCTTTAAGGTTTAGGGCCTGCGTTTCCTAAACCCTGAACCCTGAACCCCGAACCCCGAACCCTAAACCCTAAACCCTAAACCCTAGACCCTAGACCCTAAACCCTAAACCCTAAACCCTAAACCGCTTCAGATTAGGCTTGAGGGCTTGCTTCGGGTTCAGGGCTTCAGGGTTCCATAGGGTTTAGGAGCGCAAAGGTTGGGGATGATAGGGTTTAAGGTTTAGGGTTTAGGGTTTAGGGTTCAGGGTTCAGGGTTCAGGGTTTAGGGTTTAGGGTTCAGGGTTCAGGGAAAAGGGTTTAGGGTTCAGGGTTCAGGGTTCAGGGTTCAGGGTTCAGGGTTGAGGATTTAGGGTTTCGGGTTTAGGGTTTAGGGTGTTAGGTTTTGGGGATGACAGGGCTCAGGAGTTTGGGTTCGGGATTCATAAACTCACACGGCTTTGGGAACCCTAAGCCCTTAGCCCTAAACGCCCTAAACCCTAGCCCTAAACCCTAATCCTAAACCCTAAACCCTAAATCCTAAACCCTAAATCCTAAACCCTAAATGCTAAACCCTAGATCCTAAACCCTAAACCCTGAAGAATGCCGTCCACCTCGCCGACGCCGCCCGTATCTTCGGAGTCGGCCTCCCGGCGTCTTGCAGCCCTATAAGCCTCTTAGGGTTTAGGGTTTAGGGTTTAGGGTTTGGGGTTTGGGGTTTGGGGTTTGGGGTTTGGGGTTTGGGGTTTGGGGTTTGGGGTTTGGGGTTTAGGGTTTAGGGTTTAGGGTTTAGGGTTTAGGGTTTAGGGTTAGCCTATAAGCCTCTTAGGGTTTAGGGCTTGTTTGGGGGTTTGGGTTTGGGGTTGATACGGGGTCTAGAGTTTAGGGTTTAGGGTTTAGGGCTTAGGGTTTAGAGTTTAGGGTTTAGGGTTTATTTTCCACTGTATTCCTTGCGGTCCGTTTGATACCCCATGTACGCATGTAGTCTCCGTTTAGGGTTTAGAGTTTAGACTTTAGGTATTTAGGGTTTAGGGTTTAGAGTTAAGGGTATTTAGGGTCTAGAATTTAGGGTATTCAGCTTTAGGGTTGAGGGTTCACCCTGCGTTGGAACCCCTTGACTGGCAAAAGAGGCCTGGCGAGGACTGTTCGTCGCGGGGCAACGAGATGTACGGCACTTCAGTTCTTTGGTCTTGAAACTGCCCAAAGAGCCCAGTACCCTTTACTTAAGGAATAGACCTTAATCTCTATAGGGATCCTCAATGTGATGTAAGGCATGTTCCTCGCTTAACAATAATTACCCTAAACCCGAAACCCTAAGCCCTAAACCCTAAACCCTAAACCCTAAACGGGCTCTTTGGGCGACTCAACCTTCCTTGGCGCCTTTGACCAGCCCATCTGCTCGAATTCAGCTGGCTTCAGGGCGTCAAAAGTTGCAGGCTCCTGGGTTTAGGGTTTAGGGTTTAGGGTTTAGGGTTTAGGGTGTAGGGTGTAGGGTTTAGGGTTTAGGGTTTAGGGTTTAAGGGTTAGGGTTTAGTAGGGTTTAGGGCAGACTATACATGCGCCATGCGGCTTCAGCCTGCTGCTGACATGCCCGGAACCAAAAAGCAAAGGGTTCAGGGCTTAGAGTCTTAGAGTTGGGATGGTCCCCCCTTCTAAACCCTAAACCCTGAACCCTAAGCCCTAAACCCTAAACCCCTATACTAACAGTCCTTAATAGGGATTCTAGTACTCCCCTATTGCCATCCCTACTGTTGATGGACGAAATCCTGCATCACTTTTATCATGCAGGTCGTCCCTTCCAAACCCTGAATCTTAACATTGCTGTCCTTGCAATGCTTCGAAAGTGCATGTGTGTGAACGACCGAAATCCTGCATCACCCATACGCGCGTGCAACATCGAAATTCGAGGGGTGCGGGGAGCTCGATTACCAACCGTCGCACACGTGTAACGTAGGGCGTCATGCAAGATTTTGTCCATCCACAGTCTGGAGACTGGCAAGTTTTCGGAAACTCTGGTCTCTAGTCACGGCTGACCAAAGTCAACTGAGGGCCGTGTGTGAGGGGCCAAGGTGGGGCAGAAAGTCCGGAATGTGGTATTTTTCAAGTTTCAAATTGTTTCCATAGTTTCAAATTAGTTACCAATCAGTTTCAAATTAGTTTCAAAATCTAGTTGCAAAATCGCTGTTAAGGGGGAACTGCAAATTCTGTCCGCGCTTCTTGAAAACCAGGAACCTCTGAGATTCCTTCTTTTTTTTGAATCGCGCGTAGAATAATGCAGTTTCCCCTTAACAGCGATTTTGCAACTGGATTTTGAAACTATTTTGAAACTACTTTGAAACTACGGAAACGAATTTGAAACTTGAAAAACGCGGCATGTCTGCTCTATCTTGTTCGAGACTGTCTGGAGACTGGCAAGTTTTCGGAAACTCTGGTCTCTAGTCACGGCTGACCAAAGTCAACTGAGGGCCGTGTGTGAGGGGCCAAGGTGGGGCAGAAAGTCCGGAATGTGGTATTTTTCAAGTTTCAAATTGTTTCCATAGTTTCAAATTAGTTACCAATCAGTTTCAAATTAGTTTCAAAATCTAGTTGCAAAATCGCTGTTAAGGGGGAACTGCAAATTCTGTCCGCGCTTTTTGAAAACCAGGAACCTCTGAGATTCCTTCTTTTTTTTGAATCGCGCGTAGAATAATGCAGTTTCCCCTTAACAGCGATTTTGCAACTGGATTTTGAAACTATTTTGAAACTACTTTGAAACTACGGAAACGAATTTGAAACTTGAAAAACGCGGCATGTCTGCTCTTTGGGGCTTGGCCACACCCGAGAAAGAGGAGAGCTTAGGCTTGAAGCTGCAAAAAGTACATCTCCGACATTCTTCCCAAAGGCCATTCTCCGACATTCTTCCCAGAAGCCATTCCAGCAACAACTCTTGCCAACAAGTCAGTCAATTATCTTGTTCGAGACTGTGGATGGACAAAATCTTGCATGACGCCCTACGTTACACGTGTGCGACGGTTGGTAATCGAGCTCCCCGCACCCCTCGAATTTCGATGTTGCACGCGCGTATGGGTGATGCAGGATTTCGGTCGTTCACACACATGCACTTTCGAAGCATTGCAAGGACAGCAATGTTAAGATTCAGGGTTCGGAAGGGACGACCTGCGTGATAAAAGTGATGCAGGATTTCGTCCATCAACAGTCTCGAACAAGATAATTGACTGACTTGTTGGCAAGAGTTGTTGCTGGAATGGCTTCTGGGAAGAATGTCGGAGAATGGCCTTTGGGAAGAATGTCGGAGATGTACTTTTTGCAGCTTCAAGCCTAAGCTCTCCTCTTTCTCGGGTGTGGCCAAGCCCCAAAGAGCAGACATGCCGCGTTTTTCAAGTTTCAAATTCGTTTCCGTAGTTTCAAATTAGTTTCAAAATAGTTTCAAAATCCAGTTGCAAAATCGCTGTTAAGGGGAAACTGCATTATTCTACGCGCGATTCAAAAAAAAGAAGGAATCTCAGAGGTTCCTGGTTTTCAAGAAGCGCGGACAGAATTTGCAGTTCCCCCTTAACAGCGATTTTGCAACTAGATTTTGAAACTAATTTGAAACTGATTGGTAACTAATTTGAAACTATGGAAACAATTTGAAACTTGAAAAATACCACATTCCGGACTTTCTGCCCCACCTTGGCCCCTCACACACGGCCCTCAGTTGACTTTGGTCAGCCGTGACTAGAGACCAGAGTTTCCGAAAACTTGCCAGTCTCCAGACTGTTGATGGACGAAATCCTGCATCACTTTTATCACGCAGGTCGTCCCTTCCGAACCCTGAATCTTAACATTGCTGTCCTTGCAATGCTTCGAAAGTGCATGTGTGTGAACGACCGAAATCCTGCATCACCCACACGCGCGTGCAACATCGAAATTCGAGGGGTGCGGGGAGCTCGATTACCAACCGTCGCACACGTGTAACGTAGGGCGTCATGCAAGATTTTGTCCATCCACAGTCTCGAACAAGATAATTGGCTGACTTGTTGGCAAGAGTTGTTGCTGGAATGGCTTCTGGGAAGAATGTCGGAGAATGGCCTTTGGGAAGAATGTCGGAGATGTACTTTTTGCAGCTTCAAGCCTAAGCTCTCCTCTTTCTCGGGTGTGGCCAAGCCCCAAAGAGCAGACATGCCGCGTTTTTCAAGTTTCAAATTCGTTTCCGTAGTTTCAAAGTAGTTTCAAAATAGTTTCAAAATCCAGTTGCAAAATCGCTGTTAAGGGGAAACTGCATTATTCTACGCGCGATTCAAAAAAAAGAAGGAATCTCAGAGGTTCCTGGTTTTCAAAAAGCGCGGACAGAATTTGCAGTTCCCCCTTAACAGCGATTTTGCAACTAGATTTTGAAACTAATTTGAAACTGATTGGTAACTAATTTGAAACTATGGAAACAATTTGAAACTTGAAAAATACCACATTCCGGACTTTCTGCCCCACCTTGGCCCCTCACACACGGCCCTCAGTTGACTTTGGTCAGCCGTGACTAGAGACCAGAGTTTCCGAAAACTTGCCAGTCTCCAGACAGTCTCGAACAAGATAATTGACTGACTTGTTGGCAAGAGTTGTTGCTGGAATGGCTTCTGGGAAGAATGTCGGAGAATGGCCTTTGGGAAGAATGTCGGAGATGTACTTTTTGCAGCTTCAAGCCTAAGCTCTCCTCTTTCTCGGGTGTGGCCAAGCCCCAAAGAGCAGACATGCCGCGTTTTTCAAGTTTCAAATTCGTTTCCGTAGTTTCAAAGTAGTTTCAAAATAGTTTCAAAATCCAGTTGCAAAATCGCTGTTAAGGGGAAACTGCATTATTCTACGCGCGATTCAAAAAAAAGAAGGAATCTCAGAGGTTCCTGGTTTTCAAAAAGCGCGGACAGAATTTGCAGTTCCCCCTTAACAGCGATTTTGCAACTAGATTTTGAAACTAATTTGAAACTGATTGGTAACTAATTTGAAACTATGGAAACAATTTGAAACTTGAAAAATACCACATTCCGGACTTTCTGCCCCACCTTGGCCCCTCACACACGGCCCTCAGTTGACTTTGGTCAGCCGTGACTAGAGACCAGAGTTTCCGAAAACTTGCCAGTCTCCAGACAGTATGGAGAGCTGGTTAGTCTAAGGGGGAACTTCCCAAGTTTGGAGGTTAATCGGGTTCACAACCAGCAAGATGACCGAGGACCGACGACCAAACGATGGCTGGCACCTAAACCCGAAACCCTAAACCCGAAACCCTAAATCCTAAACCCTAAACCCTAAACCCTAAACCCGAAACCCTAAACCCTAAACCCTAAACCTTTCTATCAGAATGAATTTAAACCCTAATTCAAAAGTGGGCAACGGTGAATTTCGGCCTCAAAAGTGGGCAATGGTGAATTTCCTTTTCCCCGAGTTTTTCAAGGTTTTTCAAAGTTTTTCAGTGTTTTTCAAGGTTTTTCAATGTTTTTCAGGATGTTTCAGGGTTTTTAACCCTCAATTCTGATGAAGGGCCGCCCCCGCGACCTTTTCACAGCCTAGTTTTGGTCAAGGGGGGGTCGTATGTTTCAATTTTAAAGGCAAAATAGTCTTCGGAGACCCCCCTGAGAGGGAAAGTTTGCCTCCAAAAACACCCCAAATAAGGGGGACCCCAGGATCGGCCGGGTCCCAGTTAAAAATGCGATTTTTTAATACTGAAATCGACGGTTCTGGGTGGGCTCTCGTTTTCTGGATTTTTGACCAAAACCGAGCCTTCACCGGTTTCAGGAATTCAAAGGTTCTTCAAGGTTTTTCAGAATGTTTTTCAAGGTTGTTTAAGGTTTTTCAATGTTTTTCAGGGTGTTTCAGGGTTTTAAACCCTCAGTTCTGATGAAGGGCCGCCGCCGCGACCTTTTCACAGCCTAGTTTTGGTCAAGGGGGGGTCGCATTTCTCAATTTTAAAAGCAAAATAGTCTTCGGAGACCCCCCCCCCCTTGCCTCAAATTCCCCCTTGAGAGGGAAAGTTTGCCTCCAAAAACACCCCAAATAAGGGGGACCCCAGGATCGGCCGGGTCCCAGTTAAAAATGCGATTTTTTAATACTGAAATCGACGGTTCTGGGTGGGCTCTCGTTTTCTGGATTTTTGACCAAAACCGAGCCTTCACCGGTTTCAGGAATTCAAAGGTTCTTCAAGGTTTTTCAGAATGTTTCAAGGTTGTTTAAGGTTTTTCAATGTTTTTCAGGGTGTTTCAGGGTTTTAAACCCTCAGTTCTGATGAAGGGCCGCCGCCGCGACCTTTTCACAGCCTAGTTTTGGTCAAGGGGGGGTCGCATTTCTCAATTTTAAAAGCAAAATAGTCTTCGGAGACCCCCCCCCCCTTGCCTCAAATTCCCCCTTGAGAGGGAAAGTTTGCCTCCAAAAACACCCCAAATAAGGGGGACCCCAGGATCGGCCCGGGTCCCTTTTAAAAATGCGATTTTTTAGTACTGACATCGACGGTTCTGGGTGGCCTCTCGTTTTTTGGATTTTTGACCAAAACCGAGCCTTCACCGATAGGGGCTTCTACACCGTAGGGTTTAGGGCCCTAGGGATCCAAAGGGTGGGTGGGAATATATTCGATACCAGAGTAGCGAGCTTGACTAGTGAATGCTTGAACTGGAGATGCTGAACCCTAAACCCTAAACCCCAAACCCTAAGCCCTAAACGGCGTGCAACCCTCCGCAGGCAACCATGTTTGTAACATGGACGCTGGGGCTTGCACGCTGAGAGAATATGGTACACGCTACTTGGAGGTTCCTGGCACTTAATAACCCAACTATAACTCTTCTTAGAACCCAATTCTTGCCCTATTAGGGTACTCAAGGGCTTGTAATGTGGCTTATAGCTACACTTACAACGGGTTACTAAACACCCTGAACCTCAAAGTAGTCTCTTACACTCCAGAAATTGGATCCAGAGTCCAGACAGAAAAGCAGATCTACGTGGTTCGTGGCACCACTTCCCGCTGTCTGCCGGACCAACTGGATCTGTGGTTTAGGGTTTAGGGCTGAGGTTTAGGGTTTAGGTTTAGGGTTTAGGGTTTAGGGTTTAGGGTTTAGGGTTTAGGGATCAAGGACCAAGGGTGCACGGAAACGGCGCAAGCCCATGTGCAACACACTAGGAGGTGCCTTTGACATCTGCCAAAGAAGGTCTGTTGATGCGCAGGAATTATCCCAGAAATGGGAATGCCCTCCAAAGAACTTAAGGGTTTAGGGTTCCGGGTTTAGGGTTTAGGGCAACATGTTTCCTGAAATTCTCCTTGTATAGGCTAAGGGGCAGTGGTATGGGGTATGTTGAGGTTTTTCTTGGAATTTCTCAGTGCAAGCCCTGCACCCTAAACCCTAAACCCTAAACCCTAAACCCTGAACCCCAAACCCCAAACCCCAAACCCCAAACCCCAAACCCCAAACCCCAAACCCCAAACCCCAAACCCCAAACCCCAAACCCCAAACCCCAAACACAGCACTTGAGCACGATGCAGGCCCGCTCTAAAAAGCCACCTCCCAGCTTTCACCATTGCAACACTCACGCAGCACTTGGAGGTTCATGGTACTTAGTAGCCCGATTTGGGCCCTGAATGTGGTCCTTTAGGGTTTTGGGTTTAGGGTTTGGGGTTTGGGGTTTAGGGTTTAGGGTTTAGGGTTTAGGGTTTAGGGTTTAGGGTTTAGGGTTTAGGGTTTAGGGTTTAGAGTTTAGGGTTTAGGGTTTAGGGTTTAGGGTTAGTAACCCGATTATATCTGTACTTACCCAGTTGTAGCCCTACCAGGGTACTTAAGGGCCTGTTGTATGTGGGACATCACTACACTTATGAACCTCCAAGCAGGCTTCGCCGGTCCTCTCTACCCAAATACAAACTGCCTCGGGGCCGACCCTTAGCCGGGATCATGTAGCCTTCTTAAAAACAAACGAAATCCTGCTCAGGATGCCAGGGTTCCTGCTCAGGATGCCAGGGTCTGCAAGTTTCCGGTGCACTCGGATCGTTGTTTTGGCGTCGCTTCCTGCAGCCTCTGAGGACAGCTGGCATGCAGCGCCAAGCAAAACCGGTCAATCAGTGCGGAACAGTGCGACCAAGTGACAAGCGGCTCGCGCAACCCTAAACCCTAAACCCTAAACCCTAAACCCTAAACCCTAAACCCTAAACCCTAAACCCTAAACCCTAAACCCTAAACCCTAAACCCTAAACCCTAAACCCTAAACCCTAAACCCTACCAACTCATGCCGCGCCTTGGCGCTGCTTGGGCGCCTAGGTCTTGTGCCTTTCTCAGCGGAGGGGCGCACGTCCGCAAGAGGCCGCACGCACCTGACGCGCTGAAGCGTTTCCGAGCGTGGAAAAACGCCGTGTGTGTGCATGTAACCGTTATACAAATACATATACCCACGTAGTATAAGAAAACACGTATGTATGTATGTGCATACATTAGGGTTTAGGGCTTAGGGCTTAGGGCTTCGGGCTTAGGGCTTAGGGCTTAGGGCTTAGGGGCTTAGGGGCTTAGGGTTGAGGGTTGAGGGCCCTGGTTTGGGGGACCCGATAAACAAGGCAACGTACTATCCTATGATCCCCAAAAACAGCGACCCAGACTTGTAGAGCCCCCTTATTAAATTAAGGTCCCTTTTTGAGCAGAGAAGTGACCGTATCTGTACTGCAGGGAATGAGGGAATTAGGGCCCCACATATACCCTTGAAGTGATTACATACATATATATATATGTAGATAGATAGATAGATACATAGATAGATACATGGATAGTGTATAGGGTACCTAATTCCCTCATTCCCTACTGAGAACCAATCGACTACTAGACCATACTTTAGAGAAGTGACTCTAAAGTTTAGGGCCAATCTATCCACACCGCTACCAATGCGAAGTGCATGCCGTCCCTGTCCACGAGGCGGAGCCTGTGGGTCGACTGTGTACAACTCCGGCGGGCACTTGAGGTGCTTCTTGCCTGGGGGAGCCCTAAACCCCAAACCCTAAGCCCTAAACCCTAAACCCTAAACTGCAGGTAAGCGGAAACTTGTCTGTTCAAGCTCCCCTGACAGAAGCCGAGGCGCGACAAAAACGCTGGAAGTGGAGCGAGACGTTGTCCAATAGCGACAAGACCACTTCCATCGCCGCCTGCTGGATCTCTTTCCTGGGGAAGCGCTTTCTTAGCTTTCTTTGTGGTATGCAGCTGAGAAAGTGCGCCGTGCATCTAACCTTCCGCAGAGAGTGGAGTGAGAGCAAGAAATGCACAATCTTCGCTGATGCGTCCGAGTCGCGAGCGGCAAGAAACCGCCATGTGCAGCGGCTCATCCCGTTCGACCAGCTCGCCGTTCGGTGCTGCAGCCTCCAATTTGCCACTGCCCCTCCCAGAAACGCACACGCCGGCGCCGGTCTTCGTTCTGATGGAAGCCATGTTGCAGCCAGCTCTTCCGATCAGCCTCGGTACCAGCTCGAACTCCGCGTGCTTGCCTGGGTCATATCCTGTAAACTTGATCTTGAAGTCGTGGGTCAGCTTCAGCCCAGGAGGGGACCGGATTTTGTGACCCAAACCTGCCGACGTCGGATCCTCCTTGGACCCTTGCACCCCCTCCCCTCCGAGGCTCTGAGTCAGGCTGATGGGCAGCACCCACAGCGGGAGAGTGGGGTCCAACTCGCTGAAGCAGCACTCGGTCTGGGGGATGTAGGACGGTAGAGTCAGGTCCATGGCCATGGCACCTCGGTTGAGCGCTGCACTTGGGAGTCGGAGCGGCATTTTTTCTCACGCAAATGAAGGCAGCAAGGTTTGTGTGAGCTAGTGGGGTTTTACGATATAGGGGGTACCTAATTGGGGTCCTTATTATAAGGGAATCTTACTCTTTGGGGTTTTTATATTAAGGGTCCCCTAGTTTCGTAAACCCGCACATGACATATCGCATTCCAGGCACTTGTGTCGGCAGAACCCTCGTCCCGGCACGTCACCGGCATCAGCGACGCTAGGCACTTGCAGACCTAATCCTACAGCAACTCCCTAAACCCTAAACCCTAGACCCTAAACCCTAAACCCTGAACCCCCAAGCCAATAAGCTAGCTGCAATTACATTGTGCTACCGTAGCCGTCTCCTTGATGGATCTTGCACGTGCGCATGGCTCTTCCCGAGGCATGTTGAGAGACAAACTGTGCGACGGCCAGACAGCTCCAAGAACTCCAGAAGAGGGTATAGGGTTTAGGGTTTAGGGTTTAGGGTTTAGGGTTTAGGGTTTAGGGTTTAGGGTTTAGGGTTTCGCCCCTCCCCCCGCCCCGCAAGCATTGAAAGTCGCAAGTGATGACGAGGCTAAACCCTAAACCCTAAACCCTAAACTCTAAACCGCAAAGCATACCCTGCCTGAGCTTGGCCTTGGGGAGAGCCCTGCTCCTGGCACCTGGGGCAGTCTCCAGGCGGAGTAAAGATGTTTAGGGTTTGGGGGGTGGGGTTGGGGGGGGAATGGGGAGGTTTTGGGGGGGTTTGGGGTTTAGGGTTTGGAGTTTGGGGTTATGATCCGAAGGTGTCCCTCCCCCCTGCAAAAAAAAGGGCCCCAAACTCGAGAACTGACCACGTCCCACTTCGCTCCGAACCCGAGATGTAAAGGGTTTAGGGTTCGGGGTTCAGGGTTACCCTAAACCCTAGACCCTAGACCCTAGACCCTAGACCCTAGACCCTAAACCCTAAACCCTAAACCCTAAACCCTAACCCTAAACCCTAAACCCTAAACCCTAAACCCTAAACCCTAAACCCTAAACCCCAACCCTAAACCCTAAACTAAGCCCTGCGCGGCCTGAGCTGCTTGCTGCCGATGGCGGCGCCCCCTGGCGTTCTGCAGCTTGAGGTTCGAGTTCTGGGGCTTTGGGGTTTGGGGTTTAGGGTTTGGGGTTTAGGGTTTGGGGTTTAGGGTTTGGGGTTTAGGGTTTGGGCGGTTTAGGGTTTGGGGTTTAGGGTTTGGGCGGTTTAGGGTTTGGGGTTTAGGGTTTGGGTTTAGAGCTAGGGTGTAGGGTTTGGGGTTTAGGGCTTAGGGCGTTGATTTGGTCAGGGGTAATGATTAATGGGGCCCGCCATCCCCAAACCAATAGACCGGAAGCCCTTGATTAGCCTAGGTGGGAGGTAGCACAGCATTCAGAACTAAAGCTGACCCCCAAACCCTGTAAACCTTACAAACCCTATGAACACTATCAAACCGATGAGCCCTATGAACCCTAAAAACCCTGTAACAAAAATCCTAAACAAAGGCGGAGGTGTTTCTGAAAGAAACTACAAAACCCTATAAACCCTATAAAGCCTGAAACCCCCGATAAAAACCCCTATAAGCCCTCTAAACCCTGCAAACCCTGAAAGCCGTATGAGCCCTATATAACCCCCACAACGCCTGCCTATAAGCAACCCTAAACCCCAAACCCTAAACCCTAAACCCTAAACCCTATAAACAACCCCCCCCCCCCCTCCCCCCCGGCCCCCCCGGAATCTTCCGCAAGCGCAGCAGCACGCACGAAACCCCGAAGAACATACGAAGCCCCGGAGCCCTACTTGGAGGTGTTGACTTTAGGGTTTAGGGTTTAGGGTTCAGGGTTCAGGGTTTAGGGTTTAGGGTTTAGGGTTTAGGGTTTAGGGTTTGGGGTGTGGGGTTTGGGGTTTGGGGTTTAGTGTTTAGGATTATTCTTCACTGGTCCGAGAAGGCCCGTGGCCCTAAGCCCTAAATTGACTAGGGCGCCGAGCCGCACTAAGCGCAAACCCCAAAACCTAAGCCCTGAACCCTGAACCCGAAGCCCCAAGCCCTAAGCCCTAAACCCTAAACCCTAAACCCTGAACCCTAAACCCTAAACCCTGCTCTGTCAGTCTGTCCTCCGTCGGCTCGGCTGAGGAGGGACGCGTGGGCTCGTTCCGCGGCGGAGGCTGGCGCATTGAGACGTGGGCTTGATGGGTCCCTAAACCCTAAACCCTAAACCCTAAACCCCAAACCCTAAACCCTAAGCCTAAACCCTAAACCCTAAACCCGGCTTCACGCGAGTTAGATAGTTTGGGGTTTCAGGGACTCAGGGCTTTGGGGGGGGAAAGGGTTCGGGGATTGTGAGGTCTAGGAATTTGGGCTCCTAGGGGCCTGCAGGGGGCTGAGAGGTTTATCTTGGGTTTAGGGTTTAGGGATGAGGGTTTAGGGTTTAGGGTTTGGGGATTAGGGTTTGGGGATTAGGGTTTGGGGTGTAGGGTATCGGGTTTTGGTATACAGCCCGGAGCGGAAAAGCACGACCGCAAGCATACGGGGAGCATGCCGCAACCACGCATATCTTCCTGCCGACTCACTACAGTTCGGGACTCAGGGGTATCAATTGGAATTTCACGACGGCATGGCTGCCCTGAGCAGCTTCCGAACTACAATCTTCATCACGTCCCACCGAAGCATGCTTCACCTCTCCCCTCACATGTAGCTGCTGTGGCTTGCAACAGCTGGGCGTCGACAGCCGACTTCTGCGATTTCGGCGCGAGAAGCAGCCAAGCACAGCTCGCTGCTGCCGCTAACACACCCAGCTGCCCTCAGAGCACTGTTCCAGATCAGCATGCTGCAGCCACGTCGTGTGCCCCACAACCGATTCGTTGGATGGCAATCGCAAGCCCATGCACGCAAGTCACACAAGCCATCCAGTCAGGAGCAGTACAATCAGGAGTATCAATTGGAAAGTTTCGCCGCCATCGCTGGCGTCAGCTTGCGGACGAGTATAGTGCTGTTCATCACGTACTGCGCAGACAACCAGAAGGACTGTCGCCCCGAGCAACGCAGACGCACCACCGCCGCCGACAGAAACCTGCGCAGCGAGATGTATTTGCTCATCTTATGGTGGTGACTTAGGTTGTGAGCTTTCTTTCAGGGAAATGGGACATCCGCCGAGCCAGCGATCCTATAGCATTTCGGAACCCGGCCCTGACTGGTCTGTAGAAAGGATGAGGGGTCCCTGCCATACTTTCAGGGGCACTCATTCAGAGAACTGGCCATCTGTGCCGGTCAGGGAGGGGGCCCAGAACAAAACAAAAGCAACAAAATATTTGGGCTGCGCCCAGCCAACAGGCAGGGATCATGATCTGGGGCTGACCATGTCGAGTTGATAGAACAACCTGCCCCCCGTGAAAGGGCCAGCCGCAACAAAGCAGGCCAAGGAGGAGGCGCGCAGCACATCACGTAATATGGAGGGCCTTAATAATTAGAATAGGGTTTTGGGGGTTATTATAATATCATTACAAAGGGGCCATAAGAGCACATTATTAGTAATTTATTAGTCCGACCCCTATAATACACACCATGCGCATTGAGAATGACATCAGACTGCGGTTCCAGGCAGTCTTGCACAGCACTCAACCGAAGAGGAAGTGACATGTGCAAACTAGGATGTTGCCCCCCTATACTAAGAGTCCCTAGTAGGGATTCTGATAGGGGGGGGGGGGGGTACTCTATTCCCCCTTATACTAAGAGTCCTTAGTAGGAATTCTAATAGGGGGGGGGGTACTATAATCCCTATGAAGGACTGTTAGTATAAGGGGGAACATCCCAATGTGCACATGTTGGCGTGCACACGCGCATCAAGTACCCTTCGGGACTCAGGAGTATCAATTGGAATTTCACGACGGCATGGCTGCCCTAGCAGCTTCCGAGCTACAATCTTCATCACGTCCCACCGAAGCATGCTTCACCTCTCCCCTCACATGCAGCTGCTGTGGCTTGCAACAGCTGGGCGTCGACAGCCGACTTCAGCGATTTCGGCGCGAGAAGCAGCCAGACACAGCACGCTGCTGCCGCTAACACGCCCAGCTGCCCTCAGAGCACTATTCCAGACCGATTCGTTGGATCGCAATCGCAAGCCCATGCACACAAGTCACACAAGCCATCGAGCCAGGAGCAGCACAATCAGGAGTATCAATTGGAAAGTTTCGCCGCCATCGCTGGCGTCAGCTTGCGGACGAGTATAGTGCTGTCATCACGTACTGCGCAGACAAACGGAAGGCTTTTAAGACCCTAAACCCTAAACGGCAAAAACCCTATATAAAAAAAACAACCCTGAACCATGGTTGCCCGGCCCTCTGAGTTCTTCTGCAAAGGCGGAGCCCATAGTGACGCTCAGAAACGCTTGCTAGCCTAGGAACCATCATATGGTTTGTGGTTTATGGTTTGGGGTTTAGGGTTTGGGGTTTAGGATTTGGGGCACCCTTTTGGGGGTTGGTTACACTAAAAGGGAATGGGCACCACTTGTCTACCAAGGAAAGAACGCTCTTCGTGGCACGATGGGGTCTACTCTTTCAACTTTAAACCCCTAAATGGGTAGTTCTCAATTGGGTACCCTTTTGGGGCCCTCGTTTTTAAGGGTGCCGTGCTATATATTATAGAACCCTAACCCCTAAAACCTAAGCCCTAAACCCTAGATCCAAAAAAGGACCCTGAACTGACTGAGGCCTGTACCCTCCACAGGAATCTCGAAGGGTCTCGATAAAAGGACCCTAATTTAGAGAACGACCCTCATCGGGTTTAGCGTGTAGGGTTTAGGTTTTAGGGTTTAGGGTTTGAGGTTTGGGGTTTAGGGTTTAGGGTTTAGGGTTTCGGGTTTAGGGTTTAGGGTTGAGGATGAACGAGTCGTTCACAAGTGAGCACTGGCCTTGGGCTACGGGGAAAAACACTAAGTCTCGAAGCCGTGGCCTGGTCCTCCTCCTCCTTGTCGTCCCG